GAATTCATTTCCTTTCCAGGAAATGTTCTTATCGCAAAGTGTCAAAGTTGTGTAAACTAGAAATAAATGCCACAGTCTTTTGCACATCCACATTTTTATTAAATGTTTTCATCACATTTTTATATCTTGTTTGTACATACAATGAACTTTGACATTGATGAGGGAATTTCTTTTCATTACAGTCCAGCCGAATTATCCCATTTGAGTTACCAGCAGAAGCTTATCTCAGCAACCTTCACAACGCAGCGATAATTATTGTGCTGTACCAAAGCTGCAGTCAACCGAATCTTTCTCTATGCACTATATAGTATTGTGATTGCATTTTGTTCAGTGGAAATGCGAAAATAATTGGACTTTTCTGCATTCAGTATTAATGAACTTATTTTAGCATTTGGATTAAAAAGACATGCTTACTTTTCACTTATTAACTACAGGAAACATTTTAGAAAAACAAGGATGGGATAAGTCCACCTGAGTTCGGGTGAGTTTTCCTGCCCAGCGACCCGTAGCCCTCCCTGGGCTCAGTTTACCAAAACTGGGTTAACGGTTCGAGCGGTTTTATGGAGTGAATTATATATTGAATAATCAGATTCCCTATAATCATTGAGCATGTATGTATGGTTTGAAAGAATATTGTTTGTTTTTTCATATCACCATTGAGCCATCCGTTTCCAAAGCAGCAACGCTTAAATAACAAGTTGTTTTGAGGAATAATCAATGAATATTGTTGATGCAGGCGAGGAATGGGTTTCCTTCAGGTCTAAAAGAAGAACTGCATTTCTAAAATCATTTATTCCTTAGTAACTAAACATGATGAGCCTTGAAGGGTTGTGAACACATTGTTCTGTTTGTTTGGCATTAATAACATTGACATTCCACAACGAGTAGCCTACATGTACGTTACGTTTAGGGAAACAGAGAACTAACTTTTGCCTTGTCTCGGTGATCCTAAACCAGCCTTCCAAGAAAACTAAAACAGACAAGGCCATACGTTAACTCGCTGCTAATCCTCCATTACATACACACACGTACTGTTCAGTGGGGATTAAATATAGTCTATAACTATATGTACAATGAGATCATTTTGTACAGAGGGGATAAAGACAGAAGTCAAAGACGGGCTCGGTAGGATTTGAGGTTCAACTGCGTTTCCCTTAATTTTCACGTATTTACTTGTACAAAAGCAAATTTGAGCAAAACGTTGGAATATAGCCATCATGGCAATTATATTAAATGGGTTTCCGTGTTCAAGTCATGCAGATCAACCAAAGCAGGATTTGGGAACTTTGTGGTTCCAGGTTCCTAACATTAGTGGAGCTCAATAAAAACAAACAAACACTATTTGTTCAATTTATCTTGAAACATCAGCTAGCTTTTTGGATCGGAGTGTAAGAAACCAGACTGTAAAACATTCATATCTCATGCGCCCCAAAACCCAATCACCTCAACTAGTACACATTCGGACTGCAGCAAATAAAATATTGATTTCTAGTTGTTTACGCTTGAAAACACAAGTTCTCCTCCAGTACAGATTTGAGATTGTTTCCCTTCCAGCACAAATGGAGCTTTTCTATTTTAAGATGTTTTTGTGGAATCAACAGAGTACCTGCAGCCTCAGCAGTGCACACAAATACAGTGGTCTACAGTACAAAAATAACTGCTTCTCAATGATGCAGTCGGGCTTTAAGGAGGACATTTTAAAACACTCAGCCTGAGTCAGTTATGTCATTACAAAGCCAATAAGAGCATGTAAATAAAAGGATGCCAACTAAGAGCACTCAGCTATTTACAGCATTTGTACAACATCAGTTTGAAGAAACAGGGCCTAAATACATAAAAAATTGTATGTCAGAACAGCCAAACCAACACTTTCACAGCACATAAATTAATTCCCACAGGTATTCTTGTGTGGTAAAATACCACATGAAATAGTGCTGTAAATATAGGCTATAATTGTAAAAGTCTTTCCTATTCAATAATATAATGAATAATGAATCAGAAATGCAGTAATGTTGTTTGACTGTTGCTTGTAACAAGCTAACTCCCACTGTGATGCAACTTGTTTCAATGAAGGATGAAATCAATCATCTATTTGATTTAGTTAGTTTGGGTTAGTAAAGAACATGAAGACAACCCAAGTAATGGATATAAAAATGCCACAGTGAAGCCACTTGAACACGTCGAAACTGACTTCAAGTTGTTACAAACAAGACATCTTTGTGTAGATCCTAAAATACTGCACTGGAAACCATCTTCAAGCAGCCTTATTGTACTCAATTCCTCAGTTGCTTTCAATATTTGGTTATGTAAAGGTGTCCTGACTTCAACATCGATGTCTTAACGTGTGCTGGTACATGCAATCACAAATTCAACAGTAAAGGAAAAACAAAACAAATGAAATATGTATCAAAAGGATCAATTGATTAAACAGTTTATTTAAATGCCTATGAGAAAAAATATTCCAAATTCAGTCTTTTGGAGGGAATCAAATGTTATAACGGAATGATAATGGTCTTTCCCATTTCCTAAATGGGTTTAAATATACTGAATTCACAGAGGATGTTTTTTAATTATAGCTCTGACAACAACAAACAAGTATACAATAGAACACTACTATTGTTAAAGTATCTCTGGCTGTAAGCCAGCAATTACAGAAACAAGGAGCTGAATTTAGAGGCGTTACCGCGGCAATGACTGAAATGTTCAGGTTTGACATACAAGACACAAGAGAAGGGGGACAGACAACTAACGACCCTCTGCACAATAATGTCCGCTGATCACATGAAATCCTGCGGAATCGTCTTTGGCTGAAGCATTTGGCAATACAACAATAAATGCAGACATTACTGCGGGAAGAATTGTGACGCATCGATCACGTGTAGAGAAGGGAACAGGCGGATGAAGGTAACACAGATGATATGACCACATACATCGTGCACTGTGGGAGGACCCGTCTTACGACTAAGCTCGTGGATAAAAACACGCACACCACCATCTCTCCGAATCGCCTCCACAAATCTGTGTGTGAGGAGAGGGCTCAATGAAGCCATCAAGTAAAAATGTGTAAATTAGTGGAAATGTAAAAAGAGAACACGGTGAAAATGGTCATGATGTGAACGAATGAAGCAGGGCAGACGAGTGTAGGCCCCTCACGACACGCAGGACCAAATACAAATAGAAACAGGTTGCCAGTTTGTGCTCATAACTTTCCTCATTCAAAATCATCATCTTGCATGTAAATCCTTGTGTCATGTCTGCATGTTTGGTTTGCATTAAAAAAACGCTAAAAGATAAACCATATTTTGTGGGTTGGAAACACATGTACACATATGAGTGGAGAGACTAAATATATGTGCGTGTTTGAATCGGATGCTGTGAAAACTTCGTAACAGCCTCCTTATACATGCGGATGCTCATTTATCCAAATATGTGTGTGCGTGTGTGTGAATAAGAGACAGACACAACAACATCTAGAGCTGCACATAACAACAGCTGTGGTGGGTTAATAGTGTTGAGTGCTGTGCTTGAGAGTGTGCGTTTGAACTGTGTAGAACTGTTGAGTAGGACGGTTTGAGAGGGAGACAATACTGTTGACAATGTTTGGACCGTTTTGCCTCGGGGAGGCTTCACATGTGCCACATGTATGCCCAAACCCTACAGGCGTTTGGTTCTTCTCTTGTCTGAAAACATCTGGGTTATCATGCGTTTCTGCTTAAAATTCTTAAAGAGTTTCCAATGTGCTCTGAAGGCTTTTGTTTGGGCCCATTGGGTTGAATGTTTGCGGTTTAAATGTGTCAGGTCTTTGATTGGGCTGGTCGAGCATGGTTCTTCGGCTGTGGCAGGAAGGCGGTACTGGTTGGGCTGGCAGTGTGGTTGGTTGATGTTTATTTAGTGGGTCAAGCAAGAGTTTGTTTCAAGACCTTGGCTCAAGCAGTTTATGTAGAGATGTGTGTTCAGATGATATTGCTGATCATCTCACCACAAAGTGATGGAGTTTTTTGTCCAATAGAAAGGCAGCCGTGGAAGAATGCCATCCAAACTGCAGCCTGGACGTACTGTTCTGTGGTTTCTGGGCAAATTGAGTCACTGGATGGAAACAGGAAACAGCTCAGCGCTATTTGAGCACAGAGAGCTTGATATTCTCACACCACCAAGACATTATTCCGATAGTGCCATCGACTGTCGACCATGTCACTGCATCCTGGTTCCTGGGATAGTCCGGGTTGGGTTGACTGTGGCGACCAGATGTTGTCTGATTGGGAGAGAGAGTCTCGGGGAGCCAGCAGGAAAGGTTGAATCGAACCAGGTGCTACTTGGTTATTCTGGATTCTGGTTTCTGTTCCGTTCAGTGAGTAGCATCTGAGCGTGGTAGGAATTACTTTGTTGCTCTGGTTACAGTCTGCTTGGTAATGAATCTGGCGCTGGTTAGACATTCAGTCAGCAGAGATACTCGACTCAGGACAGGCCAGAATGGGATGGGATGAGGTTCTAGTTACTGATTCAGTGGGAACTGCTGTTGGACTCGGGTCGGGTTTGACTCGAGGTCCGATGAGCCCCATAAAGGGTCACGGATGCTATGTGGTTATTCGGAATCACCTGAGGAAGAGGGATACATAAAATATGTCTTAAAATTGATTGGATAACAATAAGAAAGGGGTATGCAGTTGAAAAATAAAGGAAAAACACATTTGTCCATTACCACGGCCTAAATACCAAAATACACTTTTCAATTGCATTTAAAAAAATGTTTGCGGATTGACTCTCGCCAGATGAGGTAATCCAATGGTGATTGAGCCTACGGCCGCGTTATGAATCAAAGCAGAGTTTTAAAATGTGCATTATAATAAACAGGGGGCCTACGGCAACGTTACTGGAGAAAATATTATATTACTGCTAATAATGAGGCATTTTTTGACAGTGTCTCAGTTTGAAATATTGCAGGAGTAATGGAAGAAGACTGAGAGACTAAAGTGAGCGGCCATGATCGACAAATTTCCACCACAGGTGGCACACCGTCGACTTCAAGGCTAGGTTTCCAAGTACCTTTACCTTGTGCAGTATAAAATGAAATGCCGGTCGCTCACCAAGTGATTGAAAAAGTTATTGCCTGACTTCTTTATGCTTTGATGTCCCCTGTATTGTGGAACTTGTAGCATTAAACCACATTAGCCAAAGCCAAATCAATCAAGGCTGACGGAAGGATTGCAAAAATAACTACAGTGTTCTGACCTCAAAGATCATCCTCTGCAGTCCAAAGCAGAATGTAGAGCCGAATGGGTTGGTGTTATTTGCTGATGAGGACCTATAAACACAAACATTTATTCAGAGCAGACACTCCCTTAAATAGCGTCCAAAAAAAACTGCCTATAAAAATGTTGCAGCTTGAATGTTATAAGCACAAACCAACAACATGGGACACAATGAAAATAATCTCATATACAAATATAAGTCCGTTTTGATGCCAGAGGATGGGTTTGTACCTGTGGAGCACGACAGGTTTTTCCATCGGGTGACCGAGCAGCTCCTGAATCTGATCCCACTGGTGGAAAGAAAGTTTAACAGACCATTCAAGAGTCAACATCCAGGTCAGTGAACAAGAAGGGTTGTTAAGGGAACTACAACACAACTGTGGTTGTTTTTTTTCATCTTCAAACTGTTGTTTCCAATGGCAGAAGACACATTTTAACAGACCGCTGTGTAGTAAAGGAGACAGATATTGTCAATCCTCATATTATTACTGACCTAAAGATACAATTCCACATGATCTCCATTAGAAATTTCTTCATGCAACTTCTGTGCATAAGAGATTTTTAAGAGGATGAAAGTGATATCATACGAATAATGGGATGATTTCCTGTAGCCGCCAAAAAGGCGATAAGAGTCCAAATTAGAAAGCTGAACATAATTGTAAGGAAACCCGGCCCAGACACCATGTTATGTTACATCGCTACCAAAGAGCCATATTGTCAAATGTCAACAAAGCAATTAGCTCTGACAAACAAACTCTGTGTAGAAGTGACCTTGCTGTTGGTTGTTAGCAGGCAGTCCTCCGTCTGAGAATCGGCTCCTTCTAGAGCGCAGGGACACAAAGAAACTTGCATTACACGAGAGGATGATAAATAACAACATCATACTATCCCCACTGAGACAATAGTGGTTCATTCTTAAAGGCATTTATGACTCACAAGTGTCTCACCTTTCTTAATGACGAGTGGAATCTTAAAGTCACATCGATGATATCTGTAATGGCAGAAAAAAAGCAATCAAAAGCATAGAAAGATTAGACTAAAAAGGCCGAACTGCTGGAGTACAACTAGAGAAAAAAAGCCTAACCCGGCTTAATTTTAATTATTATTTTTACATTAATTTATTGTCATTAAATAATTCTTCAACTTTCAACCCTTTATTTGCTTACAGGCCACACTGTGAAAATCCCTTTCTTCACTCACATGATTTCACATTGTATGCATTATATGGCGAGTTGAATTATTTTGGTCCATGATATGGTAAAAGCTATGTTTCTTTCTTCATATATTAGCTTAATACAGCTAAAGCCAGGGTTTGGATCGTGTGCAGTATTGCCAACTGCTGATGAAAAATATCTGGTACACTTAGTGAATGAATAATATCGAATGAAAGACACACAGAAACAAGTAACATGACAGATTACATATTGAAGTTGTAATGGCCGGGGTAGTTGGTGTGTAGAACAAACTTCTTAACCAGGTGAGTCGCCGAGTCAAACAGGATATCCTGAAAAATAAGAAAACACAACCTCGTAGTATTGTTTGTGCGCTTATTGTTTGTTGAGACCTGCTCATTATAGTCCAATTAAGTGCAAACAGAGAAGCAAGTGGAGACATGCCAACCGCCATTCATGGTTACCAGCCAGTATCAGAGAAGTCGTTTTCTCTTCTTGTTTAGAAGATCAGAACACCCACCGACGGGATATTTCAGCTCAATAAGACAAACAAACTTCACAATAACCAGAATAAATGTGGATTGTTAGGCTAAAAAACACTTGCTGATACAATTCAAATGTAATATAATTCAGCATTGGTATTGTCCATTAATTAAAAATCCCCTATGAAGTAGATTTCCTACAGTAGATGGCGGCCCTCATGCACTCTGAGTGGAGAAGCGTTCAGAGGGACAGAAGCAGTGCTGTTGGAGACAAAACTACAGTTTATTTTTTTTAGAAAAAGAGATTTTCAGGAGACCATCGATGGACAGAACGGCTTCAGTGTCTTGTGTAATGGTAAAAATATGTTATAACATTGTTTTGTGCTAAAGCCGTGTCTCAAGTGTCCTGTATTTGACCCTGATGTGCAAAGAGCAGCATGATACAAAATGTTAGTTTGCAGCTGTGCCCTGAGAAGGGAGGACGGTCGACTCGATCTCATAGAAGCTTCAAAACAATGGACTTCTGTTCATGGCCTTGGTTCATATCTTATTCTGTACGAAAGTTCTGGATCCACGTTTTACCTTATGTCAATTAATTATGATTTGCACCGGCCACTGAGGAGGTGTGTGTGTGTGTGCTACCCTCAGCTTCACCTGGGTTTTTATCTCAACCTGCTTTGCAGATTCTCATAACTGGCACGGAGAATGTCCTTCACATGTGTATAAAAACTCAGCGCTTTTACTGCTCGGAGACGCCATTTCCACAGAGCACTGTGATACGTGCCTGTGTATTTGACCTCCTGCTTGCAAGCAATAAATGGACTTTTTGCAACTTTGATCATTCATCAAGACTCTGTTTTATCAGACAAATCATTCTCTTCTACCGAGCTTTTATTGAAATATTCCACAACAATTTGGCGTCACGAACAGGATTCGCTGACCGTCCGTCGGGCTCCAGGGGACCGTCCGGAGAAAAAGGCCTTTTCCAGGATCACCAGCAGATGATCCTGCCTCATACCTCCTTAGACAAGAGAGAAAGGACGCGTGATTATTTTTATTTTGAGTACATGATTCCGGGATATTTCTAATGCATCATTTTATGCGAAGGTAGATAGGATCATGTACAATAGAGATTTCACTCGGAACAAATTCTCAGAGATCGTAACGCAGATCGCTTGACTACCCGGGTAAAATAAGACCAAACGTGAACCGTGGAAATAGCCTATACGTGAATTTTATGCTGAAGCAGGTAAAATGATATCACTGTTATTGTTAACCAAACGTGAGTTCTACTGAATTACCTTTAGAATAAGATCGTGGCAAAATCGAAGCGTGAGTTTTGAGTGGGGTTTTTGCTTGAGTAAAGAAACTAAGCCTTATGGTGACGACTGTATTGTAATAAGTAAACCGGTAGGGTCCAACAGAAAAAGATGGGTGGCCAGTCCGCAAAACACACGGAAACGTCGGGTCCGATTGTGGCAATGATGCAGCAGAAATACGGGAAAACATGTAGAGTGTCTCCCATACTGGACAAAAGAGTTTGGTTTTCCAGAAAACGGCTTGTAGAGTGCCGCTAAACTTAAAATGTTAAGAAGGGATTTGGAAGCAAGGTTGAAAGAATTTAAAAGTGGTAAAAAGATCAAAGTGACAGACTTGGAAATAATGGAGAAAAAACAGACGTGTCTGGCACAATGGGAAATGGAATGTGAATGCAGGGAGAGAAAACAAATGATGGAGATTGCACGTGTGAAGGGATGACTACTGCTGCCTTTCCAAAACAGGGAAGTGAAACACACCACACACACACACAATGCTGCAATGAAGACCTGCTTCCTCACACGCACACTGCAGAACAACATGCTGTTTTGCTCAGCATCATTTCTCACTTAGAGCAACAGCAGAATACATCCACACCACCACCACTCACGTATGCTATGTTTTCATCAGATGCATACAAAGATGTGCCAACTACAAGAGTAATTGTGGAAGGGAAAGAATTGACGTTTTTAGTAGACTCCGGAGCTCCTCATTCAGTAATTCAAGAAAAACATTTTCCAAATCAAAAAATGAGTGGGCGGTATGTATATTCTCAAGGGGCTTCAGGTTTGACTGTGACAGAAAAATTTACTGCACCTATGAGGAGTGTACACTCTGACGAGACTGACCTAAACCCTGACATAAAAGTAAAACATTCTTTTTTACTCTTTTCACTCTGTCCCATAAATCTGATGGGCAGAGACTTGATGTGTACATATGGTATTTGTTTGACGTCATCTCCAGACGGCCTTAAAGTGGTTAAGCGTAGTGCTGCACTCCAAATGGTGCAAAAGGCTCCTTTTAATCCTCTTTTTGTGTCGGTGGTGGATCCCGATCGATGATGCTCGGAGGCTGAGCCAGGCTGGTGAAGCACGGGTTTCTCCTCATGCAGACCGTATGAACCCTGAACACCTGCATTGCACAACATATGTCTCAGAGGGTCCAGACGACTCTTTTGAAGAGACATTTTTTGAGGCCCTCAATGATGCAATTGCCTGTTCTACTTCGTACTGGTCAACTTGTAAATCTGCTGTGTCTATTTCTCTGTCTCCTACACAGAAAGAGCTGTTTCAAGTTCCCGGCTCCTATCCCCATGTCTCACTGTCTAAAGGACGCCTTGACCAATGGAGGGATTTGGGACCATTTGTGGCTCAGTGTGAATCTCTCACTGACTGGGAGGAGACAATCGATCCGCTCGTTCTGCGCTCCGCCTCTACAGGGTTTCACAGAACTCACTGTGTACTTCTCACACCAGCTTGTCGATCTGTCTATCTGTTTTATGAGCACAACGACAAAGTTGAAACATTTTTAACAACTCCCACATCGATTTCTCCCGCTCTTGCTTCTGTTCCACAGACACTCTGGGCGGCACACAAATATGACGTAAACTTGATCAACAACTAGTGGTGCAACGGATCATCATTGATCCGTGATCCGTTCGGATCAATATCTTCGGTTTGGCACACACGTGATCCGCGGATTGATTTCTGAAAAAAAAAAGTTGTGCGCATGTTCAGTCCACACACAGCGTGGTCATGGCGAGCGGAGGAACGGAGGAGCTTGAACGCCCCGCATCATTTAAATCCCCTGTATGGGAGCATTTCGGCTTCCCTGTCAAATATAATGATGAAGAAAAGAGGTTAGTGGATAAAACCGTGACCGTATGTAGGCACTGTGAGTAGTATATATACCCTACTTTTGGGGGGAAGGAGGGGTGGGGTGGGGGGTGGGCATGTGACCTTTGACCTCAGACACGTGCAAGAGGGAACTTTTGGGGGGTAGGAGACGTGGGGGGTGGGCATGTGACCGCCGCCATTTTGAAGTCATGCCCGGAAATGCGTCATTTCACGAATGGAAACGTAAACCATTTTTGACAATGATGTGCGTGGTTTTGATTGGAAATTTGCCATTTCAGTGTTCAGTGGGTGTTTTATGCGATGAGCGTTAGTTTTGACCGGAAACACGGGACTGTAGGAGGGGTTTCATCATATATATAGATGTGTTATTCGCCTCCACCACCAACGCACTCATTTTGGACTCATCCGCTGTTGCTGCTGCTGTTGCTGCTGTTGCTGGTTCCGCTACTATTGCTGTGCACACGGATTCTTTGCAAAATGCAGGCTGCATATCGCATGGAGCACGCCGCAGAGACTGACATAGGTATGTCTACAGAAAATAGCCCATGCTATGCAGATGTAGATGCTTCCCAGCGCCGGAAAAAGCGTGAGGGATGTCTTTCTAGAGAGCCTGCTGTAGAGCTAGAGCTGGAGGGTGTTTATGGGTACGTGTATAATGTTAAATACTATGATGGCACGGTCACTATGATTTCTAGAATCAAGGCCCAAGACAAGCTAGGAGGGGGTGTTGGTGTAACAGTTGATGATGATGAGGCTGCTGTGGGGGGTCGACATGGGTGTATGTCTGTAAAAGATTGGCAGCAGTTTCGATCAATTGTCTGCATAGATCTTGAACAATCAGGTTTTCTAGAATCTCTATACTCTGTTCAGCCTAAAATACACCATCTCATGGCAGATCGGTACAACAGACGCCCTGACGATTTCATTTTTTTAAACGTTTGTGAAGACAGAGAGTATGTGGTAGCTCAAAGAGGCCGCCGAGGATGGAGAGAGCATCCGTACCCTCTTACCATTGAAGAGTTTAATATATGGTTCCCCCTCGTGTTCTTTGTTCAGTGGTGTGACTGGCCCGCTCTGCAAAAAGTGTTTAGTCAGATTGACAAATCTATCCAGAGAGACAGCGTCAGCAAGGCTTACGGGGCTGTTAGAAAACGTCTTGTTTACGACAATACACCGAGCGGTGTGCAACCTGGTATATCTACTACCATGTGTAGACCGAAAATAATTCACCCCTCAATCATCTAAAAGAATGACAGGTGGGTTATGCTAATGTTGTGTATATATATATATATTTCTGTCACTGATGTTAATTCATGCAGAATCATAAAAACTCAAAAAATAAATAAATAAAATTGTTTAGTCTCTGAAATCTCAGGGACCCAGGGGGGATGGACCCCGCCCACTTCTCCTTCACCTCCAGCTCTGATGGTTCACACCCCACCTCAGACTCCGCCTCCCGGGCCGACGGCCACACAAGAAAAAGAAGAAAAGAAGCTCTGTGAACCTCACGAGGTGTTTAAGGATACTGCACGGTTCCTAGAATACCTTAGAATCGGGGTGCTACATCTGTTGAACAAGGTCTGGGTTAAATATAATATAGAGATCTGCTACGGCTGTCAAACAAATAATCCCAGTCAGAAAAACCATCCGTGTTTATATCCATGTGACTGGTTCTACGAACTACACTTTAATCCGCTGATGAAAAGGCTCTGGAATGACAACTTCATATCCGCCATCCTCCTGTTTATGGATATGAATGACCTTCAGGTCGATGCAGACCGCATCCAGGGGGGTGCGGAAGTACTTCTTGACGAGCTGAAATCTGGAGGCAATGCGGCTGAAAGTATCCAAAAAATGTATGATACACTGATCGGGGAAGATGAACTCAAAATGAACCAACTGAAAAAGCTTGGCAGGTTGTGGGGAGAAGTATCAAACCCGTATGAAGCATTGGAGGTACCCGATGATGATGATGATGATGATACGACAGACATTGATGTGTAAAAACAATCTAACATGCTAAAAACTAAAACAAAAAATGAAATCGAAAATGAATGAAGTTCTTGAGTGTTTTTTATAACTGAAAATGTATTTTTGCTTTTGCAATGGGGCGAAATACTACTATACTATCAATCTGCTTGTCACATATTGTACAAGAGAAATAAAATATGTTGTAACGAATTAACTGTCGGTCATTTATACTTTGGTATTATCATGGAAGGGACTCTACAGAAGATTTATCTAGACCCAGCCCATCCGGGAGGGTTAGGCAGTGTGTCTAAACTTCGCAATGCGGTTGGAGAATGTACCGGGGTGACGCCGTCACTATCTAGTGTTAACGAATACCTACTGGCGCAAGACGTGTACACATTACACGCCAAGGCAGCCGTACATTTCCCGAGGAATAGGGTTTTGGTCAGCGGCATTGACAAACAGTTTCAGGCTGATCTAGTTGATATGGGCGAATATGCTGAGGAAAATGATACTGTGCGGTATTTACTGACGTGTATCGATGTATTTTCCAAATATGCGTGGGTTAGATGTCTTTCTAACAAAGCTGGCCTCACAGTCACAAAAGCCTTTAAAGACATTCTGAGTGACGGACGCATACCTGTGAAACTTCAAACAGATGAAGGTACAGAGTTTTATAACAAACACTTTCAGCGGTTAATGTCACAGTATAAAATTACGCATTTTTCAACATCGAATGAGACCAAGGCCAGCTTTAACAGGACTTTTAAAACCCGCATGTGGAGATATTTAACATCCGTTAATTCACGAATATATGTGGATGTAGTACAGGAGCTTGTCGAGGCCTATAATAACTCACACCACAGGTCCATAAAGATGCAGCCATCAGCAGTCAATAAAGACAATGAGAAGACGGTCTTCATCCAACTGTACAAGTTGTACCCTCAGAAGCCAGTATGCTTTAAATTTAACAAGGGCGACACCGTGAGAATATCAAAACTCCGCGGGGGATTTAGGAAGGGTTATAAACAAACATTCACCGATGAGCATTTTACAATATCAAGGTGTATAGCCAGAGATCCTCCGGTTTATAAACTAACTGATTATGCAGGGGAATTGTTGAAAGGTACGTTTTACGAACCGGAGTTACAAAAAGTAATTATAGGTAAAAACAAGGTGTTTAAAATAGAAAAAATTATGGATAGAAAAATCTCCAGAGGCAAGAAGCAGGTCTTTGTGAAATGGTTGGGATGGCCCGAGAAGTTTAACTCCTGGGTCTCAGAAAAAGACATAACGGATGCTTGATAAAAGACACATGCCTGCATCTTGAGAGTTCACTCTTAAACCGTCCACCATAGCACACGGCACGATGACCCAGAATGGTTTTTATGTTACACTGCCTAGTAACGCGTCGGCTCAGGTTTATCCTAAAAATCAGATATGGAACTACAGGACAAAATTAGCCAAGGCCATTGTTCTGAGCGAACCACATGAGGTGGGGTTGGTAGAATTCCAGTATCCGAGAGTGTGGTACAGTTTTCCGAAAACAGATGCGGTTGTAAAAGTGTACAATGGTAAAAATAGGGTTAAATCGGCCTTTACTATGGACATTGGGGTTTATGAGTCTATACAGGCTATTGTTAAAGCGTTTAATGCTCGAATCAGCATTAACACGCAGCTGGAGGGGGTATCTATGCATTATAGTAGTGTTAAAAACCGCGTATACTTTCTGGGGTCAACAGAGGATTCAACTATAACCTTTGTAGGACGGCTCGCGACAATATTGGGGTTTAAAGATGGGGAGGCTTTTCCCCTACCGACTACTGACAGATCCCACATCACCCCCTATCCCGCCGATATACATGCAGGTTGTTACACATTTTACATATATAGCGATATTGTCGACTATCAATTAGTGGGGGACAGCCATGTACCTCTTCTAAGATGTATAAATGTGGCTGCCGAACAACACTCTGACTTACGACAGGCCGCAATACACATCTCTCTCCAAAAACGTTATTGATGATATTGAGATATCCATAAAAAACGATCAGAACGGATACATACCCTTTTTATACGGAAAGGTCATAGCGAAGCTACATTTCAGACCTATAAAACAGCGTTTCTAAAAAGAAGAAAACAAGTGGAAGATGAGGAATAGCCACTACACACACGATGACGGCCGATATATGGCATATTATATGAACCAAGCCGGCGGAGAACTACCGGGATTTATAGGATCTCAGACACAATATGGCAATGGTTTGGGGGGTATATTTCGGGGGCTGCTCAGGATGGCCCTTTTTTAAAACGGGGATTCAGCCTGGCTAAACCACATTTGAAAACAGCCGCTACTAACATCATCGGAGACGTTGTATCAAATATAGCCAAAGGACCGTTCTCTGGGGCTCAACAACAACCAGAGCAGCAGCAGGGTCACGGCATGCTAATACACACCCGCAGGGCTTTGAAAAGACCCCCCACAAGCAGGGGAGGTGCAGGGCCAGGGACCAAAAAATGTAAAAGGGATGGTAGGAACAAGCCGGGAGTCAAAAAGAAATCTGGCACAGCCCGAAGAGGTTCTCAGATAAAACGCGCCCGGATTTTGGCTAAAGACATATTTTAGAGGTAGAAACTATGGCGCTCATCCATAATCAGTCGGCGGAGTGTGTCAAGTCTGAACTGGATCTCTTTACTGTTCCTTATACACAAACGTCCATAGAGAAATATTCCTTCATCGAGATCCCGCCAGTCTCATCCATTACAGACAGAGGCCCTTTGGAGTTTCATATTTCGGCCAGCGGTGAAGATTACCTGGATCTGAACGATACCTTTCTGTATATGCGTGTAAAGATAACTAATGCGGATGGGTCCAATTTAGCAGCCGATGCTGATGTCGGCTTCATAAATTACCCCGGATGTACCTTATTCTCCCAGGTTGATATCATGCTAGGGGACAGGCTCATTTCACAATCTTCAAACACCTACCCATACCGAGGCATAATCGAATGTTTGCTTAATTACGGGAAAGACACCCTGGAGACGCAGTTTAGTACAGCTCTGTTTAGTAAAGACACCGCGCAGCATATGGACGAGACGTCTATTAAAGGGGACAACGAGGGGCTGTCCGCGCGAGGAGGACACGCCGTTGAAAGCCGTATAGTGGAGTTAATTGTACCAATACATGCCGATTTGTTTTTTCAAGAGAAGCTGTTGCTTAACGGCGTTGATATTTCCTTGAAATTTATACGGTCAAAAGACGAATTCTCGCTGATGACGGCTGCAGCGGCTCAATACAAGGTCAAGATAGTCGCCGCTAGTGTATTTGTAAAAAAGGTCTCCGTAGCTCCGACGGTCCGACTGGCGCACAGCAGGGCTCTTCAACACACAAACGCCAAGTATGCCATCGACAGAGTAGCGCTGAAAACATTCTCCATTCCGGCGGGGACCCGAGTCTGCAACCAGGAGAATCTATTCATGGGACAGATCCCTAAGTTTATTGTTTTAGGGTTTGTTGACAACGAAGGATACACGGGTAGTTATACACGGAATCCCTTTAATTTCCAACACTATGACACCGAGTTTTTAAGCATTTACGCTGATGGCCACGCATATCCAGCGAGACCGCTACAGCCACTCTTCCAGAGCGGCCAGTACGTGAGAGAATATTACCACATGATTCAAACAACAGGTCGACATTTAAAAGACAGATCGCTGGCTGTAACACGGAGTGACTTTGGTCACGGTTACTCGCTGTTCTGTTTTAATCTGGAGCCTGACGACGGGCAGTCGGGGAACGTGTCACTAATCAAGACGGGGAATATGCGCCTGGAGGTCCGCTTCAGAACGGCCCTTCCTCGTACCATAAATATCATATGTTATTCTGTTTTTGACTCCGTTATCGAGATATCAAACCAACGCCAAGTCTTGGTGGATAACTTTTAAACACCATGAACACCATAGAGTTGACGAGTATTGTTCGAAAACGGGTTGTTAGGGGGGTCGATTTTATGGGCGTGTTAGCGTGTGACCAGCTGCCTATGAAGGCTTTGCGCAAGTATCCGGTGATGACTATTGTAAATACGCACCCGTCCAGCAGCCCCGGAGAGCATTGGTTGGCGATTTATATCACAAAATACAAGCATGGCTTTTTCTTTGACAGTTTTGGAAACCCTCCTGATTATGAACAGTTTCCAAAAGAAATAGTTAATTTTCTCAATTATAACTGTACGACTATGTCTTATTCTAGGAAACAGGTTCAAAATAATTTTACTACAACCTGTGGCCAACATTGTGTGTTTTTTCTATGTTATATACAAAAAGGATGGTCTTATTCACGAGTTTTAACTTTGTACGGACCTAATCTAGTCAATAATGATGCGATGGTCTGTCGTTTTGTTAACAAAATCCAACCCTCTGGGTGTTGTGAGGATGCTTTTACGTGTGTGATCTAATGATAAACTATCCTGTGACGTTTTATGAATAAAATATATAAAGACAACTTTCAGCAGTGAACACCAATTTTATTTTCCATCCACAAAGAACACACTAACAGATAATACAAAAAGCATTACAAACACTTGTAGAAAGTAAAAAAAAAATAATAATAATAATAATAAAAAATAAAATAAAAATAATATGCATCCAGTACAAGCTTAAAAATAAAAAAGACAGTGTCACACAGTAATAGCCCAACACATCTTAAAAATCTTCCCACGAATCATCACTCCTAAAAAATTTGGTCTTTAGGGATTTAGGTGTCTTAAAGGGGGTGCTGTCTATAGATCGGCTGGTCCTAGTTTTTGTTTTGAATGACCCCGAAACATTAAAACCCCCGTCATAAACTGCATCACCACCCTTATATTCAGCAATAGACCTCCTAACCTGCGTGTTGGGGATAGCGGATAGGGGAATATTTAAATCAGCTAGCGTTTTTAAAAATATCTTCCAACCGATAGGTCTAGATTCGTCTAAAACATTATACGAGGACGTGACACTTTTCACCAGATCATACAGATGTGTGCCTTTGATCGTTTGATTGTTGACAACGATCTCCCCTCGGTCTGTCCAGGATATGCCGTTTTTTGCGTGGTTCAAAGCATCCAAAATATATTCGGCATGTTTTTTACTTTTTTTAGGTATGTGCCTGATCACATTGCCTAAAATCACATCTTTTCCTGGTACGTCATCTGCTGAAACGACAGGATTTGAGCCCGAGTCACTTTCACCGGAGGGTAGTGGTAAAGCCAACGCCCCCTTCTCACGCTCTCCCTGTCTCAGCACAGCCAAGTATCTTTGTAAAATAACGGAATATTTTTTGGCTTTTTCGTACATGTCTGTATCAGGTTGATTCAACACATCAATCATAGCTCTATCAAGCTCATTTTGCACCGCCTGTCTTATAGACCCTCGTTGATCCTGCTGCTGATAATGAGGCTGCTGCTTTACTATGCCAATCTGATGCGGAGGGACCAGAAACATTTTTTGGGTGTGCTCCATTTTTTACCCCCGCCTATTGACAAGACTAATTATAAACGGAATAGCAGCCCCTAATAACGGTAATAAAAAGCCCCCCGACTGGTTGAGGGTCTTTTTCTTCTTGGTCTGTTTAACTTTTTTATCCGCCACCAGCCGGATAATCTTCTTCTTCTTCTTTAAGAGGGCGAATTGTTTGTCGGTCAAAGGAATGTTACCTCTCAATACATTGAGTGCGATCTCACACAGAGAGTCGATAAAATCCGTGCTGGCATTATTAACAATGACACGCCGCACACAAGGCGTAGATTTATATATCAACTCCAACAATGACAAATTCCTCTGCATGCGTGATGACATTTTAGCGTTATTAACGCCTGTTTGTTTTTTGGGGGATATACACAACCTGTTGGTCTGATAGCAAAGCCGTTCTGAGTCTTAAATGTTCGGGGGTCAACGCTTTATAATCTATGAGAAGATAGCCATATGATTGTTGGGTCGCATCATTAAAGGCCTCTAAAAAATATTTAGTATTACCCGGAAACATCTGTCTGGCCAGTAGTGTGATTTGATATTTATCCCTAGGGTTTTTAAACAGAATGAGATAGTTGGTATTTAAACTAATAGTACGACTAGATTTACCCTGAATAAATAAATTTTGTACTAAATATATACAACTGAGATTTCTATGATGTACATATTTGGTAAAAACATTTTGAACTTCTATATTATTCCCAGCATCATTCATTAAATCGTCTATAATGAGTAGATTGTTTTTGGCAGGAGGTAGTAAAACATCATCGCACAGAGACTCTGGTAAGCCCTCTACAAAGTTAATGTCTCTTGTTTTAAGCAGTTGATCATATAAAGGCTGCCAGCACGAATAAATGTAGACGACATTGTCAATACGATGTGAAATAACCCTCTCAGCATTTGCAATAATGTCCTTGACAAAAAAAGTCTTTCCACAGTTTGAAGGCCCACTCACTACCAAACTAAAGGGGTGTTGTAGTCGTGCATCAAATCCATGATCGCTGTTAGTATCCATAAGGAAGGGTCGTATAGTCAGACAACACCCTCCGCTTATTGTACACCACTCTGACTTGCTTAAAAACTGTCTCGTTTTTAAGATAGAACTTCTTTTTATCACGCCTGATAGTTTCAGACACTGTGGTCAAAGTGTGTGTGTTGTGATTGGTTACATAAGCCTGTACGAGGCCAATCAGTGACTGGGGGGTGACGACGGAGGCGTTTCTAGCGTTTAATGTGACGCCTTTACATTTGACAGCTGTTTTACCCTGCATTGTGTTATAGGCATAGCATTTGGGTCCTCCTGATACAAACTCTGTGATGTAGTCTTCACTAGGCAGTCCGCATATGTCTCCGCTGTTTAACTCATCAGTCAGGTCACCAAGATATGCCCCCAGGGGCGGCACCCAGTCGCTCCCTCTCGATGTAAAGACAATGCCGTCTGTGTCACAGTACAAGACCCTCTCCTGCAGTTTGTCTAACAAGTCGTAGAGCATCAATCTGGCATGGGCAGTTGTCAGGGCTCCTATAAAGACGTTTACGTCTTTTATACGGGAACCGCGGGCGTCTGCATGTCGCCACTGTACCAAAGCCACGTCATCTGAGATAAAACAGAATTGTCGCACATCAAAGTGGTCACTAAACATCAATTGTGTGAACCGAGCCGGATCTGTGATCAGCTCGCATGCAGGCATATTATTGCGCATACTAAAACGGCCCCACAAAGAGTTTAAGAGGAGTTTGTTGCAGCTTCTCATGGCTTTGTTGACCATGATTTTGTCAGGGTTTAATTGAATGCCTTCCTTTTCAAAATAGTCTTTGACATATTTCTCCTTGTCGTCGGGGGTTTTGACATGGTCAGGGTAGCCTGACGCTTCCTGTTTACACTTCATGAATGTCTTCACATACCCGCTGAACGATGTGTCTGTTTTGTTGGGGAAATGCCAAACTTCATCAATGGACACAAGCCTGTATCCTTTTTCCACAGCCTTCTGCAGTTCAATTGACACCCAGACCCCCGCCAGCAGTCTGTCTCTGTCTCCGTGAGGTGCACTCGCCACTCTGATTCAAATCCTCAGCACATTTGCCACACAATGGGAACATGAGTTTGTCATGACATCTGTATGGTAGGACCGGGTGAAACAGCCCTCTGGACATCCCGCAAATTCATAGCAAGTGTTTGTTACAGAGTTATAGCCATCCACATAGAACGGCTCAAAAGCTGTTCACCGTGATTGAGAGCATGTTTAATCTCGATATTCTCTGTGAGGGCCACATATTCAAGCCATTGCATCGTTACATCAGAATACGTCTTATTCTGAGCAGTGTATGCCCCCTCAAACGTTAGAGCAACTTTGGGAGAAACAGGGTTTTGAACACCCCCATGCAGCTGGATGCTAGGGTGGTAAATGAGAAGGGGTCAAGCTCCGTGCACTCTATGAATGTCTCCCGATAGATGGTGCAGGCTTTTCGCAACACTTCTACATCGTTAACACAGTAGCGTCCGATTTCTTTTGGAAGTCAAATGTTCCTCCTGAAACGGCATTATACCATTCCATGAATGTCGCTTTATCGCTATCACTCATATCGTCAAAGCCGTAGTAGGACGGATCAGGATATTTACCGACATAATACTCATGCTCCCGGGTGTTGAACTTGTGGGGAAAATAGCCTTTCTCGACATCACTGAACCCTAGGGCAGCGGGGGTTTTTGACAATCGCATGGGAAGGAAACTGAATGAGTCAATCCATCTCTGCCGGTATGAAATGTCATACATCAGTATTACCCTACTCCCTCTCATGGTGACTTGCGGAGTGATCTTTTGTTTACAAAATATTCCAACAGAATATAGTTGTCAAAGCCGGATGCGTTGTGGGCGATAAACGTGTAGCCTTTGTATCTCGGTCTTCTGTAATACTTCACAAAGGTGTCCACACAATTCAAAGTACTGAAACAAAACTTTTTTCCCTCTAAATCCATAGCACATACATAATTTGCCTCGTGTTTTCCATTATGAAACCTTGTCTCAAAGTCAAATAATATGTAGGTTGTTTGCGGCTCTTTCTTTTCAAGAGGCTGAATAAACACTCATGTTTATCATTGCTCTCCAACTGTTGCTCACCACAGTGGGCGCAGACTTTTGGAGCGCATTTGTGCGCTTTTTGTCCTGCTTTGTATGTTTTTCCACATGCCTCACAGTATTTCATAGCATCACAGGGGATGAGGGCATGGACACTTTCTGGCCGCTTGTGCTGATCAAAACAATATTTCGACTTACATATGCGTTTACAATCACCAGATTTCTGTGTTTTACCCAACTGTGTACGACACTCTAATGTAAAACACACATTACACAGCTGTTCACAGCTGTGGTATAATCGATGTTCATAGGCTTGGTAGCAATACTGGCATACTTGTTTTGCCCCAAAAAAACCTTGCTGGTTTTCAATCAGGTGATAATGGTCATTGTGTAGATATAACCAGACTGTCCGGGGATGAGGCGCATCGTGGGTTTGGAAACACTGAAGTTGTTTACGACCTGCTGCTGCATGGTGGAAGATTATGTTTTTCACACCCAGTTGTCTTTCAAAAGCATCTACATCGGAGAATGAGGCCTTGTACATTGGTCCAAAACCCAACGATCTATGTAGTTGAGTTGCAAATCTCACTTTATCTTGCAGGGACATGTCTGGATGATTAAAATGTGCTAAACAGAGCGAAAAGCACAGGTTATTATCAGTATTGTCAGGGGTGTGCAGAAACCGACCCTTCTTTGATAATATCACATCATATGGGACATTTGCTAATTTTAGATAGCCCCCACCGTTTCTATTTTTAGCTACGGTGATCACTAATTCCAATTCATCATCCGTTATAGTCTCATCATTGCTCTGTATCACTTGTGCAATTTGCTCCATAAACAAGTCAGAGTTGTACGACTCGTTTACGCGTAGAACAGCTTGTATGTCACTAGCCAATGAAGGTCCCCGTAACAAAACGTTCAGCACACTACCAGCCGGAGAGGCCTCTACAGCTCTATCAATTACACCCGCCACTCTTTCTCTGACCATGTAGGGGATTTGCTCGAGTTCAGTAAGATCCACGTTTCTGAAATCAACCCTTTGTCTAAGCTCAAATGCATTGAATGAAGGCATCTCTCTCATGGTGACTGTCCTTCCCTCTATGCCTGAGGAGGTCTCACCCCCCCTCATTATCTCGCCCCCTCCTCCTCCTGTTAGTGTATCATCATGCCCCCCTTCTGTTCGGGCCTGCTCCCATGACCCTCCCTCTTGACCCTCAGCAGGCCCCCCAACACCCTGTTCATGCTCCACATCTCCATTTGCCCCCATCTGATTCAGCCGGTCGTCACATATTTCTGCCAACACACACCCCCCAGCCCCTGCATCATTGTCTGTGTACACAAGTGGGCCGTCTGCATGATCCAACACGTGGCTATTTGCGCCGGAGGTATTAAACCCTGGGTCTAGGACACTGACCAAGTCTGCATACTCGCTATCTAGATACGATGAATGTTGTTCCGTATAATGAATTCTGTCAACATCGTGAAAAGCTTCTGCAGGGTATGCAGCAGCAGCAGCAGCAGCAGCATCAACGCGCGATCTCTCCACCAGTGCACGTAGGCTTTTAAGCTGTTCCTCTGTATTCTGTAACAGGACCCTATACCCATCATCATTATTATTATGGTTATCCCCTGATCATTGTATATCACCCGTGCCCCTCTTCAAAACTTTTCTGGGGGGAGCCATACTACACGTCTGTATTGTTTATTTAGACACCACCCCTTATAGACACCATGCCTAGTAGATTACCTTGGATATAATTTATTTGTAAGTAGAGCTATGATAGCTTCACTGGATGCATTCTGAGCTATCAGGTATTGTTTTATGGAACAGCCGTTGGCATCCTGTGTTTGTCTAGCCTCCTCTTGTTTCTTACATAGATCGGTTACTATCTCTTTTAATGCGGTGTTGGAACGACGCAGTTCACTGATTTCATTTATCAACTCTACATATAAGGGGTTAGCGGTGTCCCTCGGGTGCACAATCACCACCGTGGGTTCTGTGGGTATACCTGCTCTGTTTTGTTGAAATGGGGTTACACACTCTGCCGATGTTGCTCCTATTGTAGTACTCTCTTCTTCATAATCACAGACCGCCTGCAGCATTTCCTCGTCAGTCAAACATTCTGGATAGTACCACGTGTCCTTTGTTGGTGTAGACCGGTCAATCTGATCCCTGCTGTACAAGCATACATGGTCAAAACATGTTATAAAACAATTGTCTATGTATATATATATATATATATATATATATATATATATATATATATATATATATATATATATATATATATGGATGATGTCACATACCTTGTAGAAGGTCTCTCTTTTTTTTTTTTTCACTGGGGAGCATACAGGTCTATTATAAAAAAAAAAAATAAAAAAAAACGTTTAACAACAATAATAAATAAAACACATAAAAATATTTGATATTGTTCCTGTTACCTGCAACCCCTGTTTGACAGCGACGGTCAGATGGCTTTTCCCGAGATGTCGACTCTTTCAAGAGAATTATAAAATCACCATGAATGATTCGTCAAATAATAAATATATAGAAAGCTTATATCATACTGTCATTTTCCCTACCTGTGCCAGCTCCCTGGTTGGGGCAAGTAGTCGTTGTTGGTAGACAACTGAGTGCAGCAATCTCCTTTTCCAGTTTTTCAAGACTCCCGTGTATAGGATGCGAGCTGTCATCTATTTCTAAAAGGTATAAATACCTATTAAAAAAAATATATAAATATATAAAAACAAATATGAATCACTCGACATAGTACAATCTTTAAAGCTTTTTATTTTTAATTTTTTTAATTTATACCAATGTATGTGTGTGTGTGTATATATATATATACATATATATATATATATATATATATATATATATATATATATATATATATATATTTGACAATGAAATAAGTACTTACCACATATCTGGTCCATTGCTCCCCCCTTGTAGTACATCTGGCTCTCGCTGGAAATGTCTTAAATGTGAGGATGCACCAGTCTGCCAGGGTGTCAAGAAGTGAACCGTGGCTGTATCTATATAGGAGACCCATACCCCCCGAATGCAACATCATTACCAACTAAGGACCCTGTTTTTTCACACACCAGGGTCTCAGTGGGGGTGGGGGTTCATATATTGCTTAAAACTAAACAACCTGCTCACTGTTTACCACATAAGGACTCTGTTTTTCTCCATCCCTGTGGGGCTCTCAAGCTATTTAGGGTTTAGCACCGTTTGGGTGCTGCGTCACATTATGCGACCCTAAGTCGACACACTTGTTCCTCGTTAAAAACTGTATGTTTTCCTGAGGGATTTTTCCTCTGTTAGGTTACAATGTGTGTCCTGTTGGCTAAGAAGAAGATAGCCCCCCTAACTCATGCGTTATGCGGTTATTGGTGAATCTGAACAGAAGCGCCAGTGTCTTACTGTTTTGTGGAGGGGCCTCTCATACCATTGAAGAGAAGCAGAAGAAGACGTTTGGGGGTTGGCCCCCGGCTTGTGTACTGTGTCACATAATGCTGCACTAAGTCTGCATATGTGTTCCTTGTTAAACCTTAAGATGTATGTTTTGCTGAGGGCTTTCCTCTGTTAGGTTACAAATTGTGTTCTGTTGGCTAAGAAGATAGCCCCCTAGTTCATGCATTAAGCTGATATTGGTGACTCTGAACAGAAGCACCAATGTCTCACTGGTTTGTGGATGTGCCTCTCATACCTTTGAATAGAAGAAGAAGAAGACGCCCCTGGGACCACACTGGGATAGGCCTCTGCTGTTTCACTTAGAATCCTGTAGCGTGAACCAGTCCAAAGGAAAGTTCGATCGAGGCGCCAAATAACACCTCTATATATATATGATGAAACCCCTCCTACAGTCCCGTGTTTCCGGTCAAAACTAACGCTCATCGCATAAAACACCCACTGAAATGGCAAATTTCTAATCAAAACCACGCACATCATTGTCAAAAATGGTTTACGTTTCCATTCGTGAAATGACGCATTTCCGGGCATGACTTCAAAATGGCGGCGGTCACATGCCCACCCCAACCCCTCCTACCCCCCAAAAGTTCCCTCTTGCACGTGTCTGAGGTCAAAGGTCACATGCCCACCCCCCACCCCACCCCTCCTACCCCCCAAAAGTAGGGTATATATACTACTACTGTGGCACAAGAAAGCCATATGACAGTGGAAACACATCAAGCATGGCCACGCATTTGAAGCGACATCAAGCACAAGCAGTGGAGGAATGGAAGATAAAGAGGCCCGGTACTAGTAATATCCCAGTCACAAATTATATTGCCAAAAATCAAATAAATGCAGTGAATGAGGCAGGACTGGGCCCACAGATAGGGTGCTTTGCACATGTAGTGAATTTGGCATCACAGAAGGGAATCTCAGTCAATAGGATGGACCGCCTCCTTGGGAGGATCAGGAAGGTGGTTTCCTACTTTCACTGAAGCACAACAGCTGCTCATGTGCTTAAGACAAAGCAAGAAATGCTAAAGCTGCCTACTCATAGGCTCATACATGATGTCCCAACAAGGTGGAACTCCACTTATGATATGTTGGAGCGTTATCTGGAGCAGCAGGCAGCTATATACTCTGCATTGACCGAGAAGACCCTGAAGAAAAATGTCAAAGACATCATCACCCTGTCTGATGATGACATGAGAGTGGCAGATGAGGTCCTCCAGGTGCTTAAACCACTCAAAACTGTCACATCTCTGCTGAGCACTGAAACTTCATTGATCTGTATCAATGATCCTGCCGCTGAAGACAAGTGTGGAAGACAGCACCATCACTCGAGATGTCAAGACTGCCATTAGAGAGGACCTGCAGCCCAGATACACTTCACCCCCTACTCTACAAGGACTACCTTCACAGATCTACTGCCCTGGATCCAAGGTTCAAGTCCCTGTCTCACATGGACCCTGCCCTACGCCAGAGGACATACAGTGACCTCACCACTGAGATTGTGAGCAGTCTGGGCACTGAAGACTGTGATGAGGTAAAGAAAATAATATTATTTAAAAATTATACATTTAAATCTAAATATTATTTTTATTTTCAGTAATAATGGCTTTTATTAAATGTTATTGCTACATTTTCATGTCTATGAAACATGAAAATAAATAATAGGTTTAATTAATCAACAAATTTTTTTCTGCAGGGTCAAGCTGCAGAGCCAACAGGAGCAAACTTGGACACATCTCCTCCACAAAGGAAGTCAGCGACGGCAGAGCTTTTAGGAGAGACCTTTGCCAGCAAAGACATGGACAGCTTGACTCCTGCTGACATCATCAAAGAGGAGGTGGCATCCTATCTGACAGCAAGCGGCATTACAGTGGATGGTGATCCACTGACATGGTGGAAAAGCAATGAGTGTAAATACCCTCATATTGCCAAGATGACAAGATGCTATCTCGCTGTGCCAGGCTCTTCAGTTCCTTCCGAGAGAGTGTTCTCAACAGCAGGGGACATAGTGACTGCAAAGAGGTCCACACTCTCCCCAGACAATGTAGACATCCTTGTCTTTTTGAAAAAGAATTTGAAATTATAAGCTCAGGTATGCTTTCCTTTCTTTCTTTATTTTTTTCTTCTGTGATGATGTGATTGTGGACATAGGCTTTATTTCACTATCCATGTTTCAAGGAAGATGATGTGCCTTCTTATGTTGCACTTTAAGTTGTTTTTTATTAATGGTGGTCATTGGTCCATGTTTAAAGGAAGGAGATATGCCTTTTATGTTGCACTTCATATTGTTTTTCAATAATTATGTTAAAAGAAGATACTATGCCTTGTGCACTTTAAGCTGATTTTATATACTGTATTTTAATTTAATCATTTAAAAGTCTTAATAAACAAAAAGACAAAACTTATGTTTATTTGTCTTGTCTTTCTTTTTTTGCTGATTCGAAAAATGATCCGATCCGTGACTCTGATCCGAACCACAAATTTTTTGATCCGTTGCACCCCTATCAACAACTGCCAACCGGTCGTCATCACTCCACGTTCCGACTTCCGCCCCCACAAACACCAGTACCCCCTGCGACAAGAGGCCATTAACGGTATCACACCTGTATTCAATTCACTCCTGGAGGCAGGAGTGATAGTTCCATGTCCAGACTCACCGGTCAGGACGCCAATATTTCCAGTGAAAAAAATCAGAGATGCTGGCAAGCCTACAGAATGGCGTTTCGTGCAGGACCTAAAAGCAGTAAATGCGGCCGTTCATGCACGGGCACCAAATGTTCCTAATCCTTACACAATCCTAGCTCAGATTCCTCCTGAAGCTAAATGGTTTTCTGTTGTTGACCTGTCGAATGCTTTTTTCAGCGTGCCAGTCGACAAAGACAGTCAATTTTGGTTTGCATTCAACTTCAACGGTAAGCCATACACTTTCACTCGTTTGTGTCAAGGCTATACCGAATCACCCACAATCTACAATGATGCGCTCAGAGAAAGATTGGAGAGCTTAACGCTCTCTCCCGGCTCTGCACTTCTGCAGTATGTTGACGACTGTTTGATTGCAGCTCCAAATCAGGCACAGTGTCAGACAGACACGCTTAAACTACTCAAACATTTAGCGAAGGAAGGCCACAAGGCCAGCCTTTCTAAATTACAATTTGTGTCTCAAAATGTTCGTTTCCTAGGTCATGACATATCTGGAGAAGGAAAAACCCTCCCCCCAAAAAGAATCGCCTCGATCGTATCAATACCGAAACCAAACACCAAAAAACAGATGATGTCCTTTTTGGGCATGTGTTCATAACGTCAATCATTTATTCCAAACTACTCACAAATGGAACAGCCGTTATCAAACCTAATCCACGGGGAAAATCTTACAGCGCGCGACAAAATAATCTGGACTGAAGAGGGTCTTGCGGCCTTCACACAAATGAAATGTGCTTTGCAAACTCCTACGACTCTTGGACTGCCGAATCCGAATAAGCCATTTACTCAAACAGTAGATGAAAGACGGGGCTGCATGACTTCTGTGCTGCTACAACCCCATGGTAATAAACTCCGCCGGGGGGGTATTTCTCCACAAAACTCGACCCTGTCGCTGCAGGACTGCCACAATGTTTGCGCGCTGTGGCCGCGGCTGAAAAGGCACTCACAGCCTCAGGTGACATAGTGGGTTACGCACCACTCACTCTCCTCGTTCCGCACGTGGTTTCTTTGATCTCTGCGGCTCGCTATTTGCGGTACCACACGTGTCTCCTGGACATGCCGAATGTCACTGTAAAACGTTGTACTAATCTTAACCCTGCATCATTACTTCCTATTCCTGGGGATGGGGAATACCACAACTGTTTGGCTGAGCTCCAAGCTCAGTGCACTCCTCGCCCTGACCTAGTGGACACTCCACTAACTAACAGCGACATGGTAATGTATGTGGATGGATCCGCCTCCCGTGATCCTCAGTCTGGTGAAAATCGTGTTGGTTTTGCTGTTGTTTCTGACTTTGGTGTGCTGTGTTCAGGTCCTCTGCCATGTCACCTCTCAGCCCAGGCAGCTGAGCTCATCGCTCTGACTGAGGCCTGTAAACTGGCTAAGGGTAAAACAGTCACAGTTCACACTGACTCTCGCTATGCGTATGGTGTATTACATGATTTTGGGGCGCTGTGGAGACACAGGAACTTCCTTAAATCGGACGGTAAGCCCATCCTACATCACACTCTCATTGCTGAACTGTTGGAATCCATCTTGCTACCCACAGCTATTGTTGTCTGTAAATGTGCAGCACACACGTCCAATACGGATGATGTATCACAGGGAAATGCTCGAGCAGATTCGGCTGCAAAAGCTGCTGCTCTGCTTCCGCTTCCCACTACCTGTGCTCTCATGTGCTCTGAGGTGTCAGTTCCCTCCTCTCTTACAGCGATGCAGTCACTCTCTACCCCTGATGAAAAACGGCTTTGGTCCACATCTGGCTGTGTTTACACAAACGGCCTCTGGGACTGGACCCGAGGGCAAGCCGTGTTTATCTGAACATTATTTTGCCCATTATGCTAAGTTGACTCATGGGTTAGACCATGTGTCAAAGGGGGGAATGTTACGCGCACTTAATGAAACATGGTTTACAAAAGGGTTCACAACAACACAACCTGTTCCACTCACAATGTAGGCAGGCCCGTGAGCGTGTCCAGCCAGGCTGCACACCCACCACCAGCCCGCCTGTTTGAGCACATTATGATGGGTTTTGTGGAGTTGTCTCCATCGGAAGGTAAGAAACACTGTCTAGTGATGGTAGACATGTTTTCCAAGTGGGTTGAAGTTTTTCCATCGAGTAAACAAACTGCTGCAACAGTAGCCAAGGCCCTAATTTCTGAAATCATCCCTCGATGGGGCATTCCTTCTAAAATATCAAGTGACAATGGTTCTCATTTTGTCAACCAGGCCATTACAGAATGAAGCGCATACATGGGTATTGATTTAAAAACACACTGCGCATACCATCCAGCCAGGGAAGGCCTGTGGAACGAGAAAATGGCACACTCAAAACCAAATTGGCAAAATACTGTGCAGACACAGGTCTGCCCTGGACAAAAGCCCTGCCGCTAGTGTTGATGTACATGCGCATGAGAAAACGAACACGAAGCAACCTGAGTCCTTTTGAGATACTGTTTGGTTTTCCTCCTCACGTAGGAACCAAGGCACCGAAGGCACCACTCCCTTCAACCGCATTATGTGAACATGAAATGTTAACATATTGTTCACAACTCTCTTCTGCTCTGTCTAACATACGACAACAGGTTGCAGCCGCCCTCCCAAAACCAGCTGAAGGACCGCTCCAAAAACTGAAACCTGGTGACTTTGTGGTGGTGAAAGACTTCAGAAGAAAAAACTGGAAAGCACGACGCTGGCAGGGACCATTCCAGATCCTCCTTGTCACCCAAACAGCTGTCGACCACGGGCGGGTTCACAACGGACAGTTGACCGACAGACATACAGTGCATTGTGATCTGTGTTGACTGTCTACAACGCGGATGCCTCACAAGAAAGAAGGTTGGCAGACTCCACATCCCAACGTGTACCTGCGGACCAACACAAGAAGAAGAACACGGCCAGGACCCCTCCACATAGACACAGTAGTTGTTTGTGTCACTACGGTTTTATTCATATTATTGCTTGCTTCAGTTTCATTATCTAAGTATATTTCTGTGATTCTGTAGTCAGCTACCTGAGTGTTTTTCTCTTATCATGGAGCGACAAAGCCCATGGAACCCTCTCACGAGGCCAGAGGGAACTCGTTTCCACATTTTTATATTCTCATGTTTCGGTGTTCATTCCTAGTGTTCAAAATTTTTGTTTCACATTTGCTTGCTAAACAACCCGAGACTTGGTCACACATTTTGTTTTTGCAATATTATGTGTGATTAAAGAATAATCAAAAGAGTGGAATGTAATGGTAATTCTTATCTCAACTTGTTTTGCAGCTTCTCGTAACTGGCATGGAGAATGTCCTTCACATGTGTATAAAAACTCAGCCTTTTTACTGCTCGGAGACGCCATTTCCACAGAGCACCGCGATACGTGCCTGTGTATTTGACCTCCTGCTTGCAAGCAATAAATGGACTTTTTGCAACTTTGATCATTCATCAAGACTCTGTTTTATCAGACAAATCATTCTCTTCTACCGAGCTTTTATTGAAATATTCCATAACACTTGTACGTCTAACTGCAATGAAACCGGGGAGATGGTATTCCAAAATAGGCCGTAGACAGAAATGAACTGAAGTGTACAAAATGATGCACACAAATGAGCCCAGGCCAGGATTACTCACCACTCCGAGGGTGAAGTAGTTGAAGAAGTAGTCGTTACATTTTGAAGGGACCTGCTTGTGAGGTGACGGAGAGTGGATCTTCATCTAGAACAAACAAGAACATATGAAGATGTAGAGGATCAATTTGTGGTTACATCGTTTTAAATCTAAATAGATTTCCTCTTTATGATTGATTGATTAAAAATCATTGGCCTAGCGCCGATGTCACAAGTAGTTCAGACAACAAATGAGAAGCTCTTCTACCTTGTCCTCGGACTTGTAGAAGACTTTATGTGGCGAGCCCAGAGCACCCAGTACATCCTGACACGAATCCCCAAAGGAGATGCTCCTTTCTAGGGATCTCACTTTTGAATCAGCCATCACACCAGGACCACAACCTGCACCCACATGACAGGAGAGCAGCAGAGGAACATGTTGAATCCAGATAAATGACAGAAAACCAAAAGTCATACGTCAGGACGTCTCCCTGAGAGTTGACAGCTGGAAGAAAAATCTAAATTTAACAATAGTTTTAAGATTCGTCCGCAGAGATATTTGTTACCTGCGGTGAGAAGTCGGAGTTTAAGCCCCAGAGGCCCTGCAGCGTCTCTCAGGACATCAACGCTTTCTGCAAAGATGTTACCCAGGAAACAAGCCAACGGCATCGCGGGAGCCCTGAGGACACAGAGTTCACCTCATTTTTTGCCACAAAATCATCTTCAGGATCAGGAATCAGGAAACATTTATTGCCAAAAAAGTTAAAAAATAATATTAAGCATAAAGTGCACTAACGAACAAGTAACAAAGTGACGAGTGATGACAAAGTGATAAATTACAGTTAAAGTGACATGTGCAGTGTGAAGGGGAGTGACCGGTGGAATGTTATAGTCAGTCAGTGGGGGACCGGGCTCTGTTGATGAGCCCGACTGCCGATGGGAAGAAACTGTTCGTGTGGCAGGAGGTCTTAGTCCTGATGGACCGCAGCCTCCTGCCAGATGGAAGGGGCACAAACAGTTTTTGTCTGGGGTGAGAGGGGTCGGCCACGATCTTTTTAGCTCGCTTCAGAGACCTGGAAGCGAAAAAGTCCTGCAGGGACGGCAGATTGCAGCCAATCACCCTCTCTGCAGAGCGGATGACACGCTGCAGCCTGCCCTTGTCCTTGTCTGTGGCTGCAGCGTACCAGATGGTGATGGAAGAGCAGAAGATGGGCTCGATGATGGCCATGTAGAAGTGGATCATCATCGTCTTTGGCAGGTTGAATTTCTTCAGCTGCCTCAGGAAGAACAACTTCTGCTGAGCCTTCTTGGTGATGGAGCTGATTTTCAGCTCCCACTTGAGGTCCTGGGTGATGATGGAGCCCAGGAAACGGAAGGAATCCACAATAGTGACGGGGGAGTCACACAGGGTGATGGGGGAGGGTGGGGCTCTGTTCCGCCGGAAATCCACAACCATCTCCACTGTCTTCAGAGCGTTGAGCTCCAGGTTGTTCTGGCTGCACCACAACACCAGATGGTCAGACTCCCACCTGTAGGCGGACTTCAGGAGCTTGACGGACTGGTGACTGGAGGTGCAGCTGTTGGTGTACAGGGAGAAGAGCAGAGGGGAGAGAACGCAGCCTTGGGGGGAACCGGTGCTGACGGATCGAGAGGCTGAGACATGTTTCCCCAGCTTCACGTGCTGTTTCCTGTCAGACAGGAAGTCTGTGATCCACTTGCAGGTGGAGTCGGGCACGTGCAGCTGGGAGAGTTTGTCCTGCAGCAGAGACGGGATGATGGTGTTGAAGGCAGAGCTGAAGTCCACAAACAGGATCCTGGCGTAGGTTCCTGGGGAGTCCAGATGCTGGAGGATGTAGTGGAGGGCCATGTTGACAGCATCGTCCACAGACCTGTTGGCTCTGTAGGCGAACTGCAGGGGGTCCAGAAGGGGGGCGGTGAGGGACTTCAGGTGGGTCAGGACTAGCCGTTCAAAAGACTTCATGACTCCAGAGGTCAGGGCGACGGGCCTGTAGTCATTGAGTCCTGTGATCCTGGGCTTCTTGGGAACAGGGATGATGGTGGAGGCCTTGAAGCAGGCTGGTACGTGGCATGTCTCCAGGGAGGTGTTGAAGATGTCAGTGAACACCGGAGACAGCTGGTCAGCACAATGCTTCAGGGTGTGAGGGGAGACGGAGTCCGGACCGGCTGCCTTATGGGGATTTTGTCTTTTAAAGCCGGTTAACGTCTCTCTCCAGAATAGAGAGGGTCGTTGCTGGTGGGGGAGGGGAAGGTGATATAGATGAGAGGCGTGAGCACCTGATGGGCTGGGGGAGGGAGGAGTGGGGGACTGCAGCAGGTTGGTGGAGCTATGGGGGATGGGATCAGCACATTGTCTTTCGAATCTGCAGTAGAACTCATTCAGCTCGTCTGCCAGGTGGAGGTCATTCATGGAGTGGGGGGTTTTGGCTTGTAGTTTGTGAGGTGTTTGAGGCCTCTCCAAACCGAAGCAGAGTCACTTGCTGAGAACTGTTGTTGGAGTTTCTCAGAGTACAGTCGTTTAGCATCTCTCACCGCCTTGCTAAACTTGTATTTTGACTCTGTGTACAAGTCTTTGTCCCCACTCCTAAATGCCTGATCCTTCTGCAGACGTAGTGTTCTGAGTTCCGCTGTGAACCAGGGTTTGTCGTTGTTGTAACTCACCCTGGTGCATGATGGTACACAGCTGTCCTCACAGAAGCCGATGTAGGAAGTTACAGCCTCTGTGAACTCATCCAGACTGTCAGTAGCAGTCCTGAAACCATCCCAGTCTGTGCAGTCAAAGCACGGCCAAAGATCCTCCAGCGCCTCACTGGTCCACTTCTTGAATTCCCTCACCACAGGTTTGCAGAGCTTTAGTTTCTGCCTGTATGCAGGAATCAGATGGACCATGACGTGGTCAGAGTGTCCCAGTGCAGCATGAGGGACGGCGTGTCAAGCCCTGCTTACTGTGGTGTAACAGTGATCCAGCGTGTTCTCCTCTCTGGTGGGGCATTTAATAAACTGTCTGTGTTTAGGAAGTTCATGGGTGAGATTTCCTTTGTTAAAGTCCCCTAGGACAATAACTAAAGAGTCCGGGTTGGTCCGCTCCACACGCCGTATCTGGTTGGCGAGTGTCCGCTGTGCCTCGTGCACGTTGCCTGCCGGCAGCATGTAAACACCGACCAGAATGAACGAAGCGAACTCACGGGGGGAATAAAAGGGTTTGCAGTTGATGAAAAAAGTTTCCAGATCAGGAGAACAGTGTTTTAGGATCACCGTTACGTCGTTGCACCAGCTGTTGTTGAAGTAAAAGCACATTCCTCCACCCTTTGTCTTGCCGGAGAGCTCCGTATCGCGGTCCGCTCGGAGCAGCTGGAAGCCCGCCAGCACGGAGTCCGGTATCGATCCGCAGAGCCACGTCTCCGTGAAGCACAAGACGGAGGATGTAGAGAAGTCTCTGTCTCTCCTCACCAGCAGCTGAATTTCGTCCAGTTTGTTGCACAGTGAGCGCACGATGGAGAGAAAGATGCCTGGCAGCGGAGTGCGAGAACCACGCTTGCGGAGTCTCACCAGCGAGCCGGCCCGTTTTCCTCTCCTACGGCGTCTCACCGCGTGATGAAAGGTGAGCGCACCAATGTCCAGTAGTTCCACAGAAGAAAGCAGGAAAGTTGGAAGTAACTCCGCTGGAGTTCTTCCACGGATGTTCAAGAGCTCATCTCCGGTGAAAGAGCTCCGGGAATCACAGCAGCAAACATAATTAACAACAAAAACAATAAAAAAACGAAGCGCACCGAAGCACCGTGGCGGCCATCAACGGCGCCATCTTGGATCTTAGTTTTCTAAGTAGCCAAAGAAAACCAAGATCACGGTTGTGCTTATTGGTCAATATTTAGAAAAAACATTTTTTTGTATTCTCGGTTTACTGCAGAGGCAAAAATAAAAATTCTCTTACATAACTTGCGCAGTATAATTCAGTCTCATGGTTTGAATCTTGAGGTAAATACCTCCAAAAACACTTTTATTTGCTGGGAGAACACAAATTGAAATACTTGCAAGTATGAGGCCGCTGACGTTAAAGTGTTTTGAATAGTGAGGTTTCAGCAAACAAGCAAAGGTTTGCTAACAGAGTGCATGCGATTAAAACTGTTTTCTTCACAACTTCTAGGTAGCACAGTGTTACTGTGCTAATTGAAGTATTCCTTCAACCAATGGTCCCAAGTTTGCTCAAACGCTGCCAAAACGTCTTTAGGTCATCGGATTTCTTAGTTAGTAAATGTTTGCTGGATAGTTTTAATGTGTTAAGAGCTTCCGTGTTTCCATTACCATCTATTTTTCTAATTATAAACTGTGTACTTTTTGGTGAAGGTATGTCCTCTGCAAGTGACGTCCAGTTTGTGGATCTGCACGTGTGTGCATGTTACCTTGTTTCCTGCAGGTTGTTGCCGGTGTAGATGTGCATCCTCTTGACCATGGCGCCATGTGGAATCTACAGGGAGGCCACATGGCAAAGTTAGGCTGCCGAGGCAAAACAACTGGGAGTAGTATGGAACTGGCATACATTGCATTTCTGTGTAAACATTAGCAAACAATACTCAAATACATTTTCAGTATATTTTCATACATGGAGATGTGATGATTCTGTCGTAACACTGGGACGGACCTAAGGTCCAACATCAAATCAAAAAGTAAAAAAGAAAATCCTTACAAATATGGCAAAGACCGAGGGGTTGTATTATACTCTGAGCGCAATGCAATAATAACCTTTCAATGTTATATTTATTCTCAGAGCAGAGCATCAGTTTTATCCAAAAGGAAAAATGCACATTCTACTAACATTTTGGACAATAAAGTACAGCGGAGTGTTTAGCTTTAGAGGCCCAACCTACTACAACACAAGCAAGCACAAGCTGTTGTTCAGTAAAACAAACTAAAAAACTAAAAAAAACTATTTAAGCAACCCAGCAGGCAGCTGAAGATGGGTTTAAAAGTTGAAGGAAATAATGTATTCACTAAGATACCAGAGATGTTGGAGGAGCAGAAGGGCTAAACTAAAATGATGTTATTACCTACAAAAAGAGGAAAAAAGGTCCTCTAAGAGAGAAGTAGAACCATTATGTGTCACATGTGCCTTCACAGGAGCATAAATGCAGAATAGAGCAGACGGTGGAGCAGCTGGTCCGTAACATGCATCACACACGACATCCACAGCTGCACAGTGCCAACAGTAAAACATCCATTGAGTTAAACAGACCTCAATCCAAAATCAAATCCACTAAAGGCAGTAACATGTAACACTTTACATATGTATAAACAGGAGGCCCGAGGATTAGAAAGAATTAAACATGATGATGTCATATTGCCTGGAAAATTTGAAGGCGCTGGGAGTCGAGAATTCAATCATTAACTGGTGTTGAGCTAATGTCCCTGAACCGCTACTGCAGCCAGGTTTTCACCGTTTACATAACAGCGCAATGCGTCTGACTTCTCAACAGAATAACCTGCATGACACGGTGAAGAGCTGCAGCTCCATCAGCACTCCAGTCAGTTAAAAGCTGCTCGTCCTGATCATGGTTTCTACTACTTACTTTGATGTGTGTTGCTTTGCATTGCGTATTCTTTTCACCACTTTTGTATTATGTCTTTCACCCTGTACTATTTGTTATTGGGCGATTCTTATTATAAACCCGCTAATAGACTACAAATGCAAAGTAGCTGTAGCTACAAAGCTATAATGTGGTACCGTGCATCAAATGGTGACATTAATGTTTTAACTGTACATTGTGCCTTTTAAATAAAACTGATTAAATGAACACTGGGATTCTTAATTGGTGCATTTTTAAATCTGCCACGGTTCTTTTTAATGATTCAGAATCTGCCGCTACAGTTCGGCACCCTGAGTTATGCTGAGGAGCACTTTTAATAACATTTAACAAAAGTGACAAAGAACCCGATGGAATAAAGATTAACAAGCAGACATTCACATTCTCATATGGTGTCTTCATTCGGGCAATATTAGTCACCACGAACAAGCTGACGGGGATAAAAGGACTCGCTCAAGGCAAACACAAGCCATGACCTCACACTTTTCCATACGAAGAGTTATCACTTCCACCACGAGGCCACCTCCATTCTCCCGGGAGGTGTGCGAACGACCTCTCAGCCGTTCTATAAATGGCTGGCAATTAAAATGTGTTCTCACCTCGTATTTTGGAGCTTCATTCCATGAGTCCAGTTGAAAGGAAAAGGACAGGCCTCGAAAGTTGAGATGGAACAGCTGTTCTGCAGCATTGTATACTGGACGCGGGAGAACCAGGCGAAAGAATTGGATGAAAGAAGATAATGAGATCCCAGCGCCGGTTCATTCGTGAGACATTGTGTTTGTGTTAATGGGTTGGAAAGTACCTCCGGGGTGCGTGGCTCCAAATGACTGGTCTATTTGCTCTATTGTGGGGGCAATGGCCTGAGAGTTGAAATGGAGTCCACTGAAACACAACACAAACAGCCAGCGTTACACATGGAATTAGCGCGCACACAGGACGCGTCAGAACTACTTTGCAGAGACATTTGTACTGTAGGACAACCGTAAAAGAGTTAAAGAAGCAGATTAAGGCAGGCAGACATTTTAGTGAGATGTTTCACTGAGTTGATGTATATACGAGAGGACACAGATACTTGAGAACTGTCTCCGTGGTAACGTAAAATACAATGACCAATAAATGGCCCAGTGCCTGTAAGGTAAAGTCCACATAACAAGGTGATTACTTGCTGACTCATCTTTTAACAAGTTTCTAACGGTTTAATGTTGCCATCGTAATATCTACTCACCAGTATTTCAACTTGACCATGCTCAGGTCGTACACTTCAATCACCTGTCCCGCAGAAAGATAAAGAAAGTTAGGGTACAAAATAGGGGTAAGTTGTGGCGCAGGGGTTAGAGAAGGTGTGCTGGGAAGCACAAGGTTGGTGGTTCGAGTCCAGGCTGCCATGTCGAAGTGTCCCTGAGCAAGACACCTAACCCCTAATTGCTCCCCGGGCAAAAATGTGAAAAAGCCATGGGTTTAAAGTGTAATGTAAGTCGCTTTGGATAAAAGCGTCTGCTAGATGACCTGTAATGTAATGTAATGTAAAATAAAATCGTCAATTAGATCTTGATAGCAAGGTCAGGAGTCTAATGTATCCGTCAGATGCTGCTTCGAAATAGCTGCGTAGAAATATCAACAGTTCTTCCTCCTTAATGTCTGAAGTAGAACTACAGTTTTTTCACTGTGCATTTTTACCCAATATTAAAAAAAAAGTTCTTCATTCTACGCCCTGATCGTATTGAGAACCTCTTTTAATGAGTCAAATACAAAACTCAGATCATTCTATGGCAGCAAAACCACCATTAGCCAAATAAAGATACAGTGGAGTAATGTTTACAGCAACAGAGAATGACATCGCTTTTTTTACTGAGGTGTCCCAGCAGTATGAGTCCCAGTTTGTGCGTGCGTGCGCCCTACTGGCCATCCAATGGCCTCCCATACGCAGCCTGCGGTTGATAAGGACCCACGGCATGGACCTGCATGCATAAAGGCTTCCCGTCGGTTGGAATTTTGCACCTTCAAGACTCAACAATCAACAATGTTCACCTTGAGTCTCTGATTGGTGGCATCAAAGACCAGTTTGATCCCATCCCGAGTCAGGTTCAGTATGAGGTCATGGCTGAGTGGTGTCTGGAGGAGAAACAAACTAATGAATTAACAGAGAAGCCCCCATGAAGAGGAGGCATGCAGAAAGACAAACATTCACAATATTTCATATTCGGCAGCCTACATGTTAATACAAACTACTTCTAGTTGTTGATCAAGAAATGTTCAATCAAAGAATTGCTGTGCAGTGCTGTAATAAAACCAACATTAACTTCAGTTATCACCTAAAAGATTGAACTGCACGCTACATTGGGATTATTAAACAAGCGGATGTTGTGTGACAGTGACAGAAAGAGGAGATAATGTAGACAGAAATCTGGTCCTCTCACCTGTTCACTGTATAGCACCTGCACATTTTTGATGATGCGGCAGTGTTTCTGCAGAATAGCGATGGCCTGGGCCAACGGCATCCCTGGAAACGCAGACGTCCAAGCACACAAATGAAGAGGAGCAACTCTTTTTCCTTATTGAGCTCCAGTCAGCTCCAGTTATCCACAACATGCAAGGAATATCATTTCAATCGGGGCTTAAATGTTGCATTAACGACAGTTATCGCCTCAGGTCTCGTTCTCCTAAATGTGAAACACTGTAAAACTCACCTAAGGCGAATTCCCATTGCTCATTTCCCAGTGATCTCTCCGGCACCACCTCAAGGTCCAGCATTGGCAAGTAGTGGGGGGCCGCTCACCTCAGGACACGATGGGGCCCTGTGAGGGACCCTTTCTCCTCGCCGGTCGGTCCCTGACCACAGCGCAGTCTCAGTAGTTTGATGACTATTTCAATTCATAACTAGCTACGTTTTACCCGCTTGTGAGCATCTAACAGCTACTCAAACCACGGTTTACAGTAATAGGCGGCCAGTTTATCACATGTCATAGGTTATTAAAGAAATAAAATGAAAACAAAAAAAGTGTTAGGTTAGTGTTATAAACAGCAGTCAGTGAGACCTGACAGCTTGCACACAAACAGATGATGTGACCTGCACGCCAAGCTGAACCTACAAGGGCAGCTGTAAGTGATCCGTTTACCAGTTGTGGTGGTTTTAAATCTAATTAGATTAATTCCCTCGATTCAACTTCAGGAATAAACAGACGTGTTCAACAGACACACTTCTCACACAGGCTCCGATGTAACATCATCTGTCTGGTCTCCAAACAGACCGACTGACCCAGTGATAAGACACCTGAAAAACAACAAGAAAACAGGGTAGCCCGAGTATCGTCGCTGTTTGTCTCTGTCGCTGTTTGTCCCCCTCGGGCGGTTACGAAAGCAGCGAAGCTCCAACGCCGTTTATCTGCGCCAACGTTATTTTAGGAGCTAGCTGCTCCTGCGCGTCACGGGAATAAAGTAGGAACATAAATAACGGTCGTGCAGAAAACGATTCTAGATCGGAGGCAAACAAAAGAAATGTCGCGGTTCAGACAGTCGCGACGTAAACAAAGAGAGCTGATTGCGGTCTCGCCGTCTTCCTTTTAACCCGCTTCCAGGCTTCGGGGCTTCCTGCGCGCTTCTGCTGCTCGAGCGCTTTTCCTCGTAACTCGTGAACTCGCCTACCGGTAAAAGCCCGACGCGTCCTCTGCTCGGCTTTAGTTTGTCTCCAACGTCAGGCGCTGATAAGAGCAACACAGCAGCAACTTCAGGCATCAACAACAGCCAGCCGGGTGAGCTGATAATTCAACTTCCGGTTTGGACGCGACATTTCTTTACGTGATGACGTCATGGCCAGTTTATGCAGACGGCGTTTCAAAACGTGCTCAATTGACGAAACGCGAGAGCGCAACCCACTTTAAACGTTATTATTGTACTACGATTAAATCTACCCAGTTCCCCATCATTTAATTTCTAATTGTTCAGTTGACCCAAGAACTGTTTGCTATATTATATTTACTGTAATTCATCCATACCTTGGGAAAAAGGCAACCGCAAAACACAAATCAAACTCTTCTTTGAGGCCAATGAGAGTTATTGGCCAGTTTTTTTTAGTCTGCAATAAATTAATACATTATGGAACCTAAGAAGAAATATGCACGGTTTAAAAAGTATCTGTGCAAATGTATTTGATGAATTTACATTCAGACCTGAAAACAAGAATGATCCAGCACTTCGCTCCTGGCTGGGTGGAGAACAGGCGGCCCCTCTGGAATTAAGACTTCAGCTATAGATGAGTTCACATATGAGGTTTCATGAGAAGAAAGCGTAAAATAAATTTGTATCCAACACCCAAATGGATGGGCTCAGAAAAAGAATAAGTTGTTTGACTTAATATTGCACAAATTGGAATAAAACACAAATGCTAAGTCCCCACAGTGCACCGTCCTGTGTAGTAAAGCACATGTTTCCGCTAAAAACATCTGAATAAAATACATGAATTCATACATATTTATTAAGAAAAACAACAATTTGAATTGAATATCTCCTATTTCTGGTTCCTCTAAGAGCAAAAGCTTAACCTTAAACAGAGAGAAAGGCAGACCACACAAACAGAAAGAAGAAACGTCCAGGAAGAATGAAATGCTTCTTTGGATCTCTAAATAAAACCTACGTATAAATAACTGAAACAAAAATAGAGAAACAGAAAGAAAATGTTTGTGGTTTATGGTTTTCTTTTTTGCCTTAATGCCTGCATTAAGAGAATCGAGGGACAGAGTATTGACTAATACATGGGAAACCTAAATGATATTAGGTGTAGAAAGGGCGATAAATTGTGGTCATTTCTGATCCAAACGTTCTGAATTTAGTAGATCTGTTGGGAAAATGAGCTTGTTTGACCATTGATGGATCCATTTGTAGTACATAAATACCAATTAATTCATTAGATTTCTAAAAACACACAGTACTCACTGTATTTCTGACTTTCCACCTACATCTCACCTCTCATTGTACTGGTTTATTACCAATGCTCCATCAGTTCCCACTGGTTCAAAGACTATGGCTTGAATTCATGTCATACAATGAATCCGGAGATTGTCAGTCGTGGAAACAAAACATCCACTCCACATGTAAATCTATACCAGCTATCCTTACACGTTCTAATGCCTTCCTCTTGTCTCTGCCTCACCTCACCGGCTCATTCATGATCTTTATTGCCACTTCAATAATGTGTCCACTGTGCTGGACGATTTGAGGCCCAAAAATACACCAAATGTGGTCCGGGAGAGAGAGAGAGAGAGAGAGAGAGTATGTTTTCCACATGGGCCACAGTGCCAGCTGTCTTTACAAAAAGCCTTTAAGCTTCTCTCTAATGTTCTCTGAAACTATCTAATGAATAAAAGAAAGTGAATTCCTGGTTAGAGGTTATCTGAATGAAGTCCTATTTAGGATGAAATACCTGCATTGTTTTGTTGCTGTGCCTCAAGTTTAAAAATGTGTGTTTCTGCTAGGGAGCCAACGGGAAACATATCTGTTACAATTTTAACTTACGATCTTTCTATTTAGTTCTCTTGCAATTTTAAAATGATATTTTTGTGGTACCAAATTCATCATGGACTATTATCTTTTTAACTTGAATTTTACTATTATCCATCACGTATTATAAAATGTTGCCTTTGTAAACCTCAGCAAAATACTTAATAAGTCAGTCAGGTAAAAGAAAAGCATGAATAATTAACCATTTTCTTTGTTATAATAATCACATTGGAAAATAAAATGAGCCCCTAGTTGCACAATACAAAAATAAAAGTGTTTGAGTCTATCCACATTCAATGTATTTATCGCAGGAAGTGCCTTTCCTTAAAAAAAGACCATCAGAATAATATTCATACATAAAACACAAAATAGTGAAAAACTTAAGCAACAAAAGGCCTACAATTTCATTTTTGACATAAAAACTCTACAGCTGCTACAACTAGTCCATAAGAAGCTGACAGATGACCATAAATGAATACAACAGAGGTGAGAAGTAATACAAAAAGTAAACATCATGACTTTCACACAAACAACATGATAAGATAACCAAACATACTGTTTCATAGTGCTGTAACAGGACAGGGAATTGTATCTCAACTGTATTCAGGCTTTTACAGTCCTTCAATGATGAAGCATAACTGGGCAATTGATCGATCGATAGATGGATTCTAACTGTATTGCATCGGTTACATGACTTGTACATGGCTGTACAATCTAAAGCCCGAAACATATTACAGTGGATTTCAATTAAAAATTGTTGGGGTTCATTTCTGTCTGACATTCACTTCGGATCCCAAGTGCACCCGAGTGACACCACCCGAGTGACACCACTGTCACCTGTCAACAGGCTGCACATTGGAAACAATGGAGAACTTGGGCCTGTTTGGTTTCACGCCCACAAAGAAAAGCCGTGAGGAGAATAAGTCTGATTGTATCACATGGTGCAAACCTCCCACTTGGGACTCAAGGTCGTTGAATTGACCCCTACGCCCGCCCGCCCCACAAAATCGTTTTCAGATTGCTTCCAGATACAAAGACAGTAGAGTTTGTAGCAGTTTTCTTTGTTATCCGTCCGGCTTTGAGGTTGTTGCTACAGGAACCGTGGTTCTGCCGTCACGGGCCTCTCACCACAGAGAGCTTTCAAACGCGTTGTGAACTTTATAGTACAGTAAATACTAATTAACCCTAAAACTTGGTACAATAGTCTCTGGATGCCCACATCGTATCTGCCCCCATGAATGTGACTCAGTTTAGCTTATTTTCATCCCTCTCCCCTTTCCAGCACGCACGTTTTGGTCTGAGAAAACAGCAGGTGTCAGGAAGAGTGCGCAGTGTAGTAGGCCCTGTTCTCAAAGCAAACGCTACTTTTCTTTTTGCCCCTCAAACTGTCAACACCTCCCTTTTGATTCATGCTCTTGAACGTGACCCTCTCTCTTCTCTCTGCTCCCTCCAGCTTTTGTCTATTCTCACCCACCACCACCCGTCTCCCTCTATTTTTCAACATTTCATATCCATAGAAAATATACTTTTGGTATTTCAATCCAACCCTGTCAATTCATTTTGAAAAATTGCTACTTTATATGTCTGAAACTCATGTTCAAATGTATCCAACTTGTTTTGTTCACAAGTCCTTTGTGTATTATGAAATCTGTTAATCCTTCTGTTTTAATGCTTGGTTCACTTCTAATTCAATCAATACGAAAGTTTTTTTTTCTCCTACACTTAAACATAAAAAAATATTTGGTGAGTTAAAATGATGAACAATTTGTCAACAGTTGACTTGTTATCAGTTGACTGTATTTAAAATGAAAGGACAGCCAGCCCTGTTTTTCTCCTCTTCCTCTTTTCACTACTTCATCATCCTCTTCCTCCTCAGCGCATCTTGTGTTCCACGTCAGCGTTGGCCATGTTTGAGCCAGGGCTGGGGTCCTGCTGTCATCTGCACTGGGGGGAGAGAGGTAGGGTGAAAGAAGGAGGAGATGAGAGGAGAGGAGAGGAGAGGAGACGTCAGGAAGAGGACATTGTGAAAGAAAGGGATCAGAGACAAAGAGACAATACGTTAAGTACAGTTAACAGGTTTAGGACAGATGATAAAACTTGACTTGAACATTATGTTTAAATATCCATATAAGTGTTAGATACATAGTCAAACATATATTTTACATGTTGTTACAGTTGATTCATGTATCAATTGTTCCCAAGTTATTAAACCTTTATAGGAGCAGTTGACAAAATAAACATGTAATTATCACAACTCTATATTAGTGCTGATTAACGCATATAAATTACTTACAAATAAAATCGTAGCTCAAACGTTATGGACCCAAATGTGAAAACAATTGTTATAAAGGAATCTACAACTATTAACAAAAAAGAAGAAGTTGTAGTTCAAGAAACCGCCGCTAGGGGGGGGTCGGAGAACTCTATGATGGCTGTGTGCTCTCTCTGCTGATGTTGATATTTTAGTCAAGGTGTGGGAGACAGACCGGCAGACAGACAGGCAGACGGACAGATAAACTGGCAGACACCGATAAGCAGACCCACTTTCACACCAAGGGGATCATTAGGTCATCATTAGGAGTCTTCAGTATGACAAGACCTTTAAATATATATTTCAGGACTGGGTGTGTCTGTGAGCCCGAGCTGCTCCCATTGTAAAAAAACAAAAACGCCTTTTTATGCAGAGCTGACAGAAATGTTGACACAGATAGTAAATGAGTCACTTAATTTGACTGGAATGTAGTTTGTGTCATCTCAATGACTCACCATGAGAGCAACACACACACACACACACACACACACACACACACACACACACACACACACACACACACACACACACACACACACTCGCAAGCAGTGTGTCATACTTCCATTTTGACTTCTAAAAGCCAGACTGACTCCACTCTCCTCTGGGAAGTTGTATCTTTATCAAAGCTGCTGCTTTCATATACACGTATAGATGTAATTAGGATTTGATGTGGAGCCACAATGAAACAACTGCCTCTTATAGGCAGTATTGATCGGCATCCGACCCCCTGCTTTGACTTACACACACAAACATGGGGGGGTGGTCTTTGCTAATCATGAGGGCCGGAGAGCTTTCTGTTTTGAGCCATACGGAGATGGAAGCCTGCCGGGCCACTATAGGCTGCTTAACTCAATACTGGAGAAGAGTGTGTGTTTGTGTGTCAAGGGACAAACTTAGAGATTTGCTATAACTGCGTCTGTGTACATGTGACTGTGCACAATTTGAATGTGTGTGTGTGTAAGTCAAAGCAGGGTGTCTGATGCCGATATAAATACTAATGATATATTAATGCTTTCAGTGCCAGCTCATCATTCACCACAAAATCTCATTCTGCTGAGCACTTGGAGAAGTGTGTGTGTGTGTGTGTGTGTGTGTGTGTGTGTGTGTGTGTGTGTATGTGTGTGTGTGTGAGAGAGAGTGTGTGGTTCAAAAACAAACTTCTTCCAGATCAATCCTTTTCCCATCCATCATCCTGTCAGGTACCTTCTGACCTCGACTGAGTGGAATTTCACTTGTTTTTAGATTAAAAATGTTGTATCTGCCTAAATGACGAGGCTTCAGGGACTGAAGAGGAAACAGCTTCATAATCTGTGAACACGCAGTAAATAAAAACGCTTCCCTGTTTTACCGTGTGAAACGTTCACAATCCGAAGTTTGAAGAAGTTTCAAGCCTAATTTCTATTGATTATATAGCAAGCTGTCACCGAATACCTTAAAAATTACTTATAGCCTGTTTTACAGTGAGAACGTTTTAGTTTAGGTTATTTTATGATGGTGAAAACTATTTGTGTTGATTTCATTCTAAATGTTACACATTGTATCCCAGCAGCTCCACATACGCAAGTTAAACTCAAATTGTACTTTTCAAAAATGTCATTATTTATGCACAAGGCAAGGATGCTAAAAGCATGACTGCACCACAGAATAACTGTCTGCCGGCCCCTTTATCCCATAACTTCCTCTCTCTGCACACTCCCCATCACACTTAGTTCATCGTGCCACGCTTTTGCGTTTCTGCTTCTCTGCCTGATCATCTATTATTGATTTATAGCAGCACAGATGAAAATCCAGGCTTTAAGTATAGGGGAAATCATTTAACTTTACAAATAAAATATAGCAGAACAGCGCACTTATCCCTCTCGGAATGGATTAGCACAGTCTGATATGTCTTTGGGGAATGCTTCTTTACAGCGATCAAACAACAACAACAATAATCACTTCTTTGGTGTTTTAATTTGCCTGCATTCATCAGAAAGGTCAGGGAGTGAACGAAAGGCAAGAGATTGGTTTGAGAAAAAGAGCACACGGAGGCAGTGAGAAAAACTAAATATCTGTTCTGTTGCCTTGTCAAGATATCATTGAGAAAAATAAAACAGTGTCTATGTTTTTGTTTTGCTGAATATTGTTTGTTAAAGAGGATTAGTTGGACTATAAACAGCAGCAGGTTAGCTGAGTGTAGCAAAAAAAACAGGAAGTGGGGGGAAACAGACGGCAATGAGACAAAGCGTAACTGGCCACGGTCCCCATTTTTTATCAGTGCCAAATCTAAGTATGTGTGTGTGTGTGTGTGTGTGTGTGTGTGTGTGTGTGTGTGTGTGTGTGTGTTTTAGGGGATAGTGGAGCTATTTGTATTGATTCAGGAGGAGACGCGGGTTTTTGTTTTCCCCCCCATTGCCTCAGGCAGGAAACATGAGATCAGTCAGATGAAAGGCGACCTTCACTAAATGCCCCTCTCCCCTTTCTCCAAACACACATACAAACTAGCTGCGAAATGGGTACAAACACCTTGCAGTTTCTCTCTCTTACGACCCACTAGAGTGGTCAGATATTATGGTCATGAATTTGGTTAGAAGTGGGTGCATATTCATGAACAACCGGCAAAATGACAACAACAACATTTGTAACAATTTGTAAAAATAAAGTAAAAAAACGCTGCCTGTGCTCCCACAAAGAAAACAACAACATGAGTGCACATACATAGCAAACATTTGGACACACATAGTCGCAAACACAAACGCACACATACGCACACAACAGGGTGGCTTAGTGCATGACAGTGCGATAGATGGTGAGAAATGAAGTACACAGACCCTGTTCTTTTCTGCCGGCTGTCTGCGTGTCATCAGTCCCAGATTTTAGAAACCACAGGATCCTAAAAAATAAACAATTTGAGGTTCACTTGTAACTTGTTCAACTTAGGAAGGATTGATCTCCCCAAAGCCTTGTTGGGAAAAGTAGTTGGTTTCCAGTTTGGGACAGTCACAATGTTGTATAAATTTGTGAATTTGAGAATAATTTAAAAACAGATCCTATAACAATTTAGTTGGCATAAAGTAAATCGACTACTTTCCCATCAGAGGCTTTTGGGAGACCTGAAAAGTTGTGTTCAGTCATTCAATAGCTCAATAAAATAAAATCAATTACCCGATTAGTTTTATTGTCAAACTGATCATGCACTGAACCTACAATTCAAACTGTAAAAAAAAAGCTACAATAATAAAATAACAGATTGTAAAAGCACACAGCCACACGTCACAGAACCCAAACCCACACAAGCGCTGGGCAAAGAGAAGGCAACTGGAAATTTGACTCTGCGAGTAGAAATACCTAATTATAGAAGAAATGCAGGACACGGTTGCGTTAAGACTAAATGAGAATGTAAAATTGTCCCGTAACTCATAATTTTACTTTGATATTCCTATTTCCAGATCATAGCGTGCAAGCTAAATGTAGCTCGTTCTAAAATTGTGAATTTGTAAACCTTGAAGCTTATTTGCAAATTTCCAGTTGGGTCCAGCCTAGCAAAGCCAGCTGCTAAACTTAAGATTTCGCTTTGCACATTCTAAAGCAGCAGCACAAGAAGAGAAGTAAGAGCTTGAGTCTGACGTCGACATGAGGCCTCTTTGGCTGGATGAACGATGGATGAGCTTGAACGTTTGTGGTCTTTGCCTCCCGTTCTCAAACAGAAGACAGGATCATGTGGGAATGTCTTACAAATTATTATTATTATTATCTTCTTATTTACGGTGGTTACTAAACAATGTTAATTCTACACACTAGACTAGAGTCTGGATCCTACATATAGGCTGGCTGTGCACGGCTACGTCTTCTCCAGAGGAAGCACATCTGTCCTGTTAGAGATAACCTGACCAGTAACATGGTCACTTTTTTTTTAGATGGCAGACCAACATCGACAAACACAAACGCCACCGTGTCAGGCCGCTCTCACCTCTAGATCCTCTCTGTGCGATCGGTCTCTGTCTTCAAAGTCTCGGGTTCTGCGCCGGGCCTCTTCAAACGCCGCCTGGGCCAAAGCGTCCTCCTGCTGCACACAGGCACACACATAGAGAGTGAGTGTCGTCTAAAAAAGGCAAACATAATACATCCCTCTGTTTGTGTATGTGTGTTGTGTTACCTGCGCCCGCTCCTCGTCGTACTCCAGATATCCCATCCCATCTAGCCTCTGCAGGTCGATCCAGCCTCGCCACATCACACACACACCGTTCAAAATCATGGGAGCCTTCAGGTAGACCTGGTGGGAAAGAGAGTGGCTGTATTTCACGTCCTGCAAAGTTTTTTGAAATCGTTCTGAGAAAAAAGACCTGATGAACTCTTCGTCAGTAAATTTTGCACTAAATTTTGCAATTTTGCAAAAATGTTGCAGTTTTACAGTAAAGTATGTAAACACTAAGGTGTAAGCAAAGAGAAAAAAGCTAAATAGGAAATGGTGAACACAATTCAAGAGGAGACTTTCTGTGTCCAATTTCTTTGGAAAAAAATATTTCTTTCCAATAGCAGAAACATAACATGACTTTGAGCAACATCCAAAATGGCAGTTTAAATCCCAAACTGCTCAAAACAGAATGAACACGCATGTTCTGCACATGCGTGTTGAGTTTAGTGTGTTTCCATGAGTGTGTGTAGATACATGTTAGTCAGGTTTAGGTAGAAAATTAAGCATTTGTATTGGACTAAGTGGACAAAAAGTGATCCAAATAAATATACATGTGTGTGTGTATGTGTGTAAATCTTAATGACGATAACCAGCGGTTGTGACTTACTCGAGAGGTGTGTTCACACACTGGCAGACAGATATGACAGATATGTTTTATTTTGGCATAATACCACCTCAGTTCTCACAGGTGTTCATTTTGACCCAATATAACAAATAAGCTACAAAAAACATCAGCAGACTGAACACCAGTTGTTACATCTGTCTCCTTCGACGTCGTGTCTATCTACCAGACGGCTTTAGCTAAAAGAATAGACTGGACTTTTTCCACTTGTCCAGAAACTGAATCCAAATACGGACCCTGTCTTACTGTAACAATGCTATAGGAAGCATTCAAACTCTGACGTATGAACTTTTCTTTCAGCTAAAGAATTTAATCAAAAGCCCGATAAAGCAGGTTACAGTAAATATAGGGTTTGCTTTCATTATATTTATTCTCCTTTTTCTCAGTTTTCTCCTTTCCCACAGATGTTATTTCTCTAGACTAGAAGACAGACACAGTGAAACACAGACAGCCTGTGACACAGTTTGTTTCCCATGGTAGAAGGTTTTAGGTTGTATTTTCATCTGAATAAACAAGTATTGAGGAATAAATGAGTAAAAGGCATAAACACTCAGAAGATGCACACATACGCACAGATAACTGAATTTGTCTCTGTGAGAAAAGCTCCACGTTCCTGCATTTTTACACAGGCTATTTTTGGACAGACCCTCACAGGGACCTCTTTTACCACAGCTACCCACAATGCACCGGGGTTGCAGGGGAGGCTACGCTCTAACAGAATGTGTTTTTTGTGTTTATTTGAGTGAATGTTTTTCTGTGTGACTATGTTAGGGAGAGAGAGAGAGAGAGAGAGAGAGAGAGAGAGAGAGAGAGAGAGAGAGAGAGAGAGAGAGAGAGAGAGAGAGAGAGAGAGAGAGAGATGGCTTCCACATCTGTGGGGCTGCGTGGTGCTTTTGAAAGAAAGCTTCATTTGTCTTGGTAATATGTGTGTGTGTATGTGTGTCTGTGGGTGTGTGTGAGGGGAAAATATGTAGAAACGGCCCAACCACAGACTTCCTCTAAGAGAGAATCCCGCCAACCCCCACATCCATTTAGTCACACATACACACATAAAGACAGGGGACCTCATACATTCATACACGGCAGCAGACATTAGCACTTTAGTGAAGCTCTTTCAGTCTTGCGAAACTTGTTTTTTAATTTACCTGGATGCGATACAAGTGATGAGTCAGCGACTGTGCGTTGTTGTATTTTGATATGATTTATTATGACAGTTATAAAGCTAATGGCCAATAGTTGCTTTGCATATTACAACTTTAAATATTTGGTAATTAAATTTGCACATAAAAGAATATGCTAATCTTACAAAATGTGTATGTATGTATTGGCAAACTAATTTTGTTCAGCTTTGCTACAGCTAATTAAAACACATGGCGTGTTTCCTGAACTCGAGCGAATGTGCTGAATGCATTTTATTCTACGTCTCAAGGTTGTTTTTGCCATTTCAAATCCAGCTTTGTTTGCATCGCGTGCTGAACTGTTCTGGAGGCTCAAGGTGACCCTGTGAGCCTTTTTCTTGATGTCCTTGATGTCTAGCCTTGCTTAGATGATCTTACAGTCCGCTGCATATCATGTTTCTGAGACGTGATGCGCATGTTACTTTACAGTATATACACTGTGTTCATACAAGTACAATGTATGACGTGTTTTCAACCTCATCTGAAGTATTTACTTGTGTATTCCAGGCTTGAGGGTGTTTCAAAACAGTATTTAATGTTTCTCTAAAACGCACTTTTGGTAGTTACAAGGTCGTCACCTGACAACAGCAATCAGCTGCAGCCTTGTGAATTGACGTACAGGGTTGTGTTCATCTGTGGCAGATGGTGTGTGACACAGATGTGGAGGGATGTGTTGGCATAGTGCATCTCAGTCAGGCTGGTGCCGACCATCTAGTCAGCACAACTGCCCACTGCCACACACGCATGCACGCACGCACGCACGCACGCACGCACGCACGCACGCACGCACACACACACACACACACACACACACACACACACACACACACACACACACGCACACACATTAAAACCTGTGCCCACAAAGTTTGTGAACACAATAAAATAGTATAGTAACTAAAAGAGAAGGATAGAAAAGAGGTAATCATGAAGGAGTTGGAAGACACACACACACTGCAGATACATGTTTAATTTAGACAGCACAAGGGAGTCATTGAAGATGTTTGGAGATTCCTTGTCTAACATGCACAGAACATACAAGTAAAAGTCTTGTTTTTCATGTTAAGGGTGGCTGACGAATGAAATCATTCAAATGTCCACTGAGGAAAAGTAATTCAGAAATATTAATGAGAGACCAACATACACATTAACAGCAACAGCAATATACACATTAATAGCAAAAAAGATAGAGCGAGGGAAAGAGGCAATGAGAGAGAGCAGTGGGACGTTGAAACCAGTGTGTCTGTGTGTGTGTGTGTGTGTGTGTGTGTGTGTGTGTGTGTGTGTGTGTGTGTGTGTGTGTGTGTGTGTGTGTGTGTGTGCGTGCGTGTGTGTGTGTGTGTGTGTGTGTGTGTCAGACAATAGGTAAGTAAACGCTAGACTGTATTCAGCGTGGGATTAAGAACAGAAGGTAAGTAACGTGCTTTATCTTAACCGGCTGCTGTCCCACCTGACACACACACACAAAAACGCACATTATTTCATTGAACAAGCTGAACATTGAACTGACACCAAAGGACCATCTAAATAGTCACATGTGTCAGACAAAGTAGCACCAGCTGACTAAATTTAACTGAAAACATTGCTTCTATATTCAAAGTGCCAAAGCATAATTTTGCTACATGATTATTGCACAAGTGATCAGGATCTTTCATTTTAAATCGTGCTGAGAGCATCTCCTTCACAACCTTCAGTGCGTTTTTATCACTGGCACCAATGATTATGTCATCAACCCATATTAAGATGATCAACTTTTCTTTTTCGGTCTCCTTTGTGTAAACACAATGATCAGAAGGATTTTGCACAAAGTTGTTTTCACTCAAATACTCGTGCAGTAACTTGTTCCAATTTATGCCTGATTGTTTGAGTCCATACAACATCCTTTTCAGCTTGCATACCAACTTTGTATCTGTGCCAGATTTTACCTCATAACCTTCTGGCTGTTCCATAGAGATATCAAAATCTATTGGTGCATGCAGGCAGGCTGTTTTGACATCCATCTGATGTAAGATCAAGTCTTCTTGCACCGCTTTTTGCATCAAGACTCTGATACTAGTCAGGTTGGCAGTAGTAGAAAAAGTCTCCTCATAATCCACCCCTTTCCTCTGACTGTATCCCTTGGCAACATAGCGTGCCTTGTACTTTTCTGACCCATCTGTATTGTTTTTAATAGCATACACCCATCTACATATTCACTCAAGTACTCTGGTTTCTTCCTCTCTCTTGAATGGTATGTCTTTTGCTCAAGTGTCTGTGTGGTTGTGTACTTCAAGCATAGGAACTGGCACCTGGTCTTGTGTATGGGCTCACATCAGTATTTTTACTGGTATTGGTAACTCTACGCTGCAGCTCAAAGTCATCATTGACAGGGGTCATGTCAGTCTGTATCTGTTTCTCCGTGTTTGTTTTGTTGATAAACTTCACCAGTCTATGCTTCTGCACTTTTCCAGTGTCAGAAAAATAAACCATATAGGCTGGACTGTTCTTGTCGTATCCAACAAAAATCCCCTTTTCACACCTTGCGTCCAATTGTCTCTTGTACACTTGTCAGACCTGATACACTTTATCTTGCCATATGGCACTGTGTCGGCAAGAAACTTTTCTGTTGCCCTCACTGTGTCATTCTTATTTTACACAAATACTGCACTGGAAAAATCATCAGTGAATGATAAAGCGTACCTATACCCGTCTCTGGACACTGGGTCTATAGGTCCTGCTACATCCGTGTGCACCAGCTCTAAGGGTGCTTTTTCCCTTACATCAGCCTCCCTGTTCCTAGTTTGGGTTAACTTTCCCTGGGTGCAGACTTCACAATGTGGGGCTGACATGTCTGTTTTACCTTTGATTGTCATACCATCAACAACATGTTGTAGTTTCTGAACATCATCATAATTACAGTGCCCTAAGATTTCATGCCATGTCTGCATATCGTATACTCCCTTACATTGGTCTTCACACTCACCATTCACTGTATGTAAGTAGTACAGTCTGTTATACTCATGGATGTTGAATCTTGCACCGTCTCTACATATCAGGGCAACTTCTCCTTGCTTGAAAACTACAGTTGCTCCACTGACAGTCGCTGCTTTAACAGAAATGTCCTGCGGGTAAGAGGGGATGTACAACGCCCTCTTCAGCGTCGCGTTTTGATGTTGTCCTCTGCTGTCGATCAAGCAGACCTCTGCATCTCCTCTGCGCTCCGCACCTCCGTTGGTCTTTTCACCGTTGGCTAACTCCACACAATGTTTCAGTGGTTGGAACGTGTCGTCAAAATTCCT